GAGGGGGAGGAAATTGAAATTAGGAGGGGGGAGAGAAATTGAAATTAGGAAGGGGGAAAGAGAAATTAGGGGGGAAAGAGAAATTAGGAGGGGGTGGGAAAGAGAAATTGGGAGGAGGAGAAGGAAATTGAAGCTGGAGGAGAGATTGACATTCATCACATACACACAATGCACCGCTTGCACACAGAAAAACACACAATGCATTACACACACAGACACACATACACAAGCAATGCAACCGTTACACACAATGCATCCCTTACACACACAGAAACACACAATGCATTCCTTACACACATTCAATGCATCCCATACATACAAAGAAACACACCTTGCAGCCCTTACACATACAAACACAATTTCACACAATGCATTCCTTACACACATATCAGCACATCCCTTACACACTCCACCCCCTGTGAACAAACTCATTGGTGGAACATGAAGGTGGACCCTGGCACCCAGACCTTGAGCTGTGTAAAGGACCCCCCAAAAAATGGAGCTGCTTCCCGTTCTCCCAGAACATTGATTTTTGTGACCACAGTTACAAACCGCCTCCAGAGAGCCTGTTCTGCACCACACCAGTGGAGCCAGACTGCAGCTAGAGCCCATCATCATCCCCATCTGGTTGTAAGTAGGCAATCTAGTATATTATTCGTGGCACTAATCTCTAATTTACCTCACATTAAAGAAGCACTATAGTCCCCAGAACCACTTCAGCTTAATGTAGTGGTTCTGGTGTCTATAGCCTGTCCCTGCAGGCCTTTTAATGTAAACACGGCGGCACTGCAGCACTGGCGTTAGTTTACAAATTGTAAAAAAAAAGAAAGAAAACCTTTAACATTTTTTACAGGTTTTTTTTTTTTTGGGGTGAGGAGGGGGGGGGTAGTGCAGGGTTTTTATGTGAAGTGGGTGTAGGAACTTTATGTAAATTGGGTGCAGGGATTTTATATGAAGGGGTGTATGAATTTGATGGGTAAGGTTTTTTCCAAGTTGATATACAATTTACAAAAAATGTTGTTGGTGTTTTTAACATTTTAAAGAGGGGGTGCCAAACACAGGGTGCGCCCCGGGTGCCAAATGCTCTAGGTATGCCCCTGCTGGTAGTATAATTGCTGTGGAGCTCTGTAATACTCTGAGACACTCCAAGAATACTGGGCTCCTAGAAAAGACAGACATTAGGATAGGAAAAGAGGGACATTAGGAAAAGAGGGACATACGGAACGGATTTGGGCCCAAAATACGGACTGTCCTTCCTGAGTAGGGATACTTGGCAGCTATGACACCAATGTCTCCTCTTACTCTACACATGTTGCCTAACCCATCCAAGGATATTACAGCTACCCTTCACAGTCTGGCATCTGTCTATGTATCTGTGTGTCTGTCAGATCTAATTATTATTATTATTATTATTTATTACTGTATAGTGTGAAAGCAGACAGTGCAATAGATATTAAATGATGATTTATTTCCACCATGGTTGCAGTTTTGTTGCCCTAGCTTTGCCATGCTGTGTGTGTTGATGATCCCCGTTGCCTAGCAACCGTTGTCCAGGCGCTGGAACGCCATGCTGGCGGTTGTTGACAGCCGTTGCCCCGGTAACCGCCCCCCCACACACACAGACAGGCACAGACAGAGAGTATCCGCTCGCCATGTCTGCCCCGGTGCTCGTGTCCAGCCCGCCGGCCCCGCAGAGTGTCCCGGTGGGGAGCCTGCCGGCAGTCAGCGTGCAGGAGGCCGCCAACACCGGCCAGCACTCCTCCTCCGGCCTGGCCACCGCCGGCTTCCGCACCGCCCGCTACCTGCTGGAAGAGTGGCAGCAGGGCAGCTACACCGCCTTCTACCGGGCGGCCGCCGACCGGGACAGCTCGGAGCGGGCCAGGGCGCAGGACAAGCAGCTGGCGGCCGAGGCCGAGGCCCGAGCTCAGCGCAGCCAGGCCGATGGCACCAGGAAGCTGGGGGAGAGGCTGCTGGACATCCACTACTGGAGGTCGGAGCTGGCCAGGGAGAGCGGGGAGCTGGCCGCCGAGACCGAGCTGCTCCTGCAGCAGAGAGACCGGCTGGAGAGAGCGCTGGACACCAGCGAGATCCCCCTCTCCATCGCATCGGACAACCTGCAGTGCAGGGAGAGGAGGCAGGGGGCCGAGCTGGTCAGGGATGGGGTGGAGGTGGAACTGCTGCAGGTAAATGGGGGGGGAGAAAAAAGGGGGGTAAGGAGGGGTACCATAACCACAACTAACAGGATGATGGGACTTGTAGTCATCATCCTACAGCACCATCCCTCTGTGTCAGGGATGGGGTGGAGGTGGAACTGCTGCAGGTAAATGGGGGAGAAAAAAGGGGGGTAGGGGAGGGTACCATAACCACAACAACTAACAGGATGATGGGACTTGTAGTCATCATCCTACAGCACCATCCCCCTGTGTCAGGGATGGGGTAGAGGTGGAACTGCTGCAGGTAAATGGGGGGAGAAAAAAAGGGGGGTACCATAACAACAACTAACAGGATGATGGGACTTGTAGTCATCATCCTACAGCAGCATCCCCCTGTGTCAGGGATGGGTTGGAGGTGGAACTGCTGCTGGTAAATGGGGGGAGAAAAAAGGGGGAGGGGGACCATAACAACAACTAACAGGATGATGGGACTTGTAGTCATCATCCTACAGCAACATCCCCCTGTCTGTCTGTATTTACTGACATAGGAATGTTATTCAGTAGCAGATCATCCAGCACAAAAGGAAATTAAAAAGTAAATTTTCCATTTTAACATGGGGTGGAGGTGGAACTGCTGCAGGTAAATGGGGGGGGGGTCCATTTTAACAGAGTCTCTTAAACCCCCACCACCACCTAAATTTAGGCCATGGGTCCTCAAACTCCGGCCCCCCAGATGTTGCTGAACTATAACTCCCATGATTCTTTAAATTACATAGATAGCCAGAGAGTCATGGGAGTTGTAGTTCAGCAACATCTAGGGGGGCCAGAGTTTGAGGACCCATGATTTAGACTATATTTCTAGTATACATGAAACCATGGACTGCTCAATACTTGGGATGTAAAATGTACTTATTTATTTACTTATTTAATTTTTTATTTTTTTTTGACACATCAATAAGTTACATTTTATTTACTAAAACAAAAAAACTTAGAATTGGCTGTCCTTTTAAGAGAAATTCTCTAATCAAATGTAAACATGCAGGGTTTTTTACTAAAATTGTCAGGAATATAAAGTGCATTTTCGAAGTTAAGAACAAAGTAGCCGAACTAGAAGCATAGCTGACTAAGAAAATTTTCCAAGTTTGGCTACTTTGGAATTGAACTCGAAATTCACTTGGAGTTCACTTTTAATTCCTGCCAATTCTTAGTATAGTGAATAACCCTAATGGTGGTTTTTGGGTTAAGTACAGATTTGTAAAACCATAGCAACACTAAGAACCAGTATGTGCACATTCTGCCTGGCAATAATGTCACAAGTGTATTATATGTTAACGGACACACTAGAGGGCATATCGCCTCCTCCCTAGCTGCACTAATTACCACTGCAGGGTAAGGGACCTGGGACACTGCACCCAGACCACTTCAATGAGCTAAAATGGTCTTTAGTGTCCCTTTAATGTATTTGTGCATTGGGTTCGCATGGGTTCCATATACGGTAATGTGGCATTTTAAATCCTTGCCACAGTGAATGAAGAATTTGAGCAATGATAACACAAAATTTTCATTATGCTTGCTGACATTTATGGTTGCTTCTAAGCAGCTGTGGATGTTTTATCACAGTCTGTTCTAATATTGATGTACTCTAATTCACTTGAATGCAATTACACACTTCTATGTACATTATAGTAATATATGCATTATTTTGCAAGTCCATTTATTTCCACTACAGAGCTGTGAGTTGTAGCAATAACATAGAAACATAGAATGTGACGGCAGATAAGAACCATTCGGCCCATCTAGTCTGCCCAATTTTCTAAATACTTTCATTAATCCCTGGCCTTATCTTATAGTTAGGATAGTATTATGCCTATACCACGCATGCTTAAACTCCCTCACTGTGTTAACATCTATTACTTCAGCTGGAAGGCTATTCCATGCATCCACTACCTTCTCGGTAAAGTAATACTTCCGGATATTATTTTTAAACCTTTGCCCTTCTAATTACAGACTATGTAATCTTGTTGTCTCCTCCTTTACTGTGTTGATTCCCTTTATATATTTAAATGTTTCTATCATATCCCCCTGTCTCGTCTTTCCTCCAAGCTATACATGTTAAGATCCTTTAACCTTTCCTGGTAAGTTTTATCCCGCAATCCATGAACCAGTTTAGTAGCCCTTCTCTGAGCTCTCTCTAAAGTATCAATATCCTTCTGGAGATACGGTCTCCAGTACTGTGTACAATACTCCAAGTGAGGTCTCACCAGTGTTCTGTACAATGGCATGAGCCATAATAATGGGAAGTATAACACACCCATCATATACTAAATATTTTTTCATTGTGAAAATGTTGGCTCAGTATTAAACTAGCTAGATCAGTCTTTTATTCAGTGGCTGAAGGTCTATTTTTAATTGTAAAATGACTGGCTTGCTTTACTGTAATAATAAAGTAACTTATCTTAATTGTAATAAATCACTAGTTATCAGTTTTATATTCTTGTTTTTTTTTTTTTTTTTCAGGAAGTGGAATTAATAAGAAACATACAAGAACTTCTAAAGCGAACTTTGGAGCAAACCATTCAGCAGATTCGGTATAAATCAATTAACGCAGCTGTTACATATTATATGAGTTATATGATTAGAATGCTTAAAGGGGCACTCCTTACATTCTGTTGTTTTTTTTGTAAGAGTTTAGTAGATATACCCCCAAATAAAACATGCTTGTAACTCGTTTTGCATGTTTTCTTTGGGGTATATGAAATTTTGGCTTGCAATAGCTGCAGATTTAGTATCTGCAGCTACAGCACGCTCGCCCCTTCTTCCCCAGCACACACCTTCTCATCTGTGCCAGGGAATAACCAATCGCAGGCTTCGTACAGAGAAGTATGTGGACCAGCCCCACGTGTTACAACTCACGGAGAAGTCATTCAAAGTACGTGATTTGTGCAAGCGCCTGTCTTTGAGTTTAGTGCTGTCGAGCTAAACTACCAGGAAGAAACACCTTCCAGCAGTGTGACTGACAGCCATGGATGTTTTAGCGTTCATTTATAAGAGAAAAAAAACAAAAAAACAGGGTGCAAGGTAGTGGCGTACACACGATCCATGGGGCTCCGGTGCGAAAATTGATCCATGGTTTCCCTCCCCGGTCGTAGCCGCGACCGCGGTATGTAAGCCAGTGGTGCAAGGGAATACTGAGAACAACAGCCAAAATAGCTTGTCCTTTGGTGGGACCCCATTCAGATCTCAAGCTGGTTTTAGCTCATCTTGTGCCATTACAGGGAGATTCTAAACCATTTACCATTAAATTGGGTAACAGTAACAACCCCTGGATGTTGGGCTAAGGTAACATCCCCAGGACGTACTTGAAAATCAGAATAATCTGAATGTACATTTCCTGGTTAAATACTTTGTTGTTGTTGTTATCATTATTATTTGAATATCCCACCCAAATTTATGTGTGCATATTACAATTCATATCAGCTCTTTAAAATTAGAAAAAAAGAACACACTCTATACACATAAAGCACTCCAGCAAGCTGTTGTAATTTATGTGTTGGAAGTATTCCTTCAGATGGACATTCCAAGGACCAGAACATATTTTCTGCATTCTATAGCCTTTGGCCCAAATCATTTGCCATAATTGTTACATGCCCAATTCTGAATTGTTTTTAGAACAAAAAAAAAGTTTTGTAGCATTCTACTTTGTAACTGTGACCCTTTTGTCCCCCCACCTCCTTCACACCTCCTTTTTAAATAAAACGTAATTCTTGATGATTGTGTATGTGATGTCTTAGCTACGTTTCTAGAAACATACAGTAGTGTTTATGTGAGTTGTAGTTCATCTTTCCATTAGATCCATCTTCTATCGGTAAAAGCCTTGCTGTACAGGTATTTGTGGGATTAGATGAACACTTTGAAAAGTCTCTTAGAAAAGTATTATGGATTGGATAACCTGTATTTGATTGGGAAGTACTAACTTGTGTTTATGTAAAATGTAGGTAAATTTCAGCATGTTGGACTATATGTTCACATTTAAACAACATCACTGAGTGTACTGTGGGGAAAATGGTTTTCTGCATAGCGTGGTCCTCAATTGTATCTTCATTGAAAAAAAAAAAAAAATAAGATCTGACCACCAAAGGAAACCTGCATGTAATTGTTTTTGCATATTACTAAGGCCAGAAAGGTATTGTCATGCATGAAAAAGGGCATGCATTCTCGGGATGAGAATATCATTCTGCCTCTTTATAAATCACTGGTAAGCCCACATATTGAATATGCTGTGCAATTTTGGGCTCCTGTTCTAAAGAAGGATATTATGGCACTAGAAGAAGTGGAGAGGCGGGCTACAAAATTAATAAAAGGAATGGAACATATCGGCTATGAAGAAAGGTTAACAAATTTAAACCTATTTAGTTTAGAAAAATGTCGCCTGAGAGGGGATGTGATAACATTATACAAATATATTCCGGGGCCAATACAAACCATTGTGTGGAAATCTATTCACAAACCGGACTTTACATAGGACACAAGGTCATGCGTTTAGACTGGAAGAAAGAAGATTTCGTCTAAGGCAAAGAAAAGGTTTTTTTTTACTGTAAGAACAATAAGGATGTGGAATTCTCTGCCTGAAGAAGTGGTTTTATCAGAGTTCATACAGATGTTCAAACAGCTACTAGATGCATACTTGCAAAAACAGAATATTCAAGGATATAATCTTTCAATGTAGGGTAATAACTGCTTGATCCAAGGATAAATCTGACTGCCATTCTGGGGTCAAGAAGGAATTTTTTTTCCTAGCTTGTTGCAAAATTGGAAGTGCTTCAAACTGGGATTTTTTTTGCCTTCTTTTGCATCAACAGCAAAAAACAAATGTGAGGAAGACTGAACTTGATGGACGCAAGTCTCTTTTCAGCTATGTAGCTATGTAACTATATTTACTAATATAAAAATTTATCTTGGAATAGCTAAAGGATCATATAGAACTGCAAAACTTTCCCTTTGAGGGAAATAATCCAGTAATAATCAGCCAGAGGCCCTTCATTGCCGAGCCTTGCAGACCAGCTGCATATGTCTGCAAGGCTCGGCAATGAAGCCTTGCAGTCCAATCACAGACTGTATTAAAGCTCATTGAGAAGTCTTTGCAAGGAAGGAACTCTGAGCAAACGCCATCACATGAGCTTTGTTCCACTTCGTTAAACTAGCAGGAAGAAACACCTCCTGGCTGTCTGATTGACAGTCGGAAGGTGTACAGTATAAAGTGCTGATTTCTATCGAGATTAGCACTTTTATAAAATGAAAAAGAAGGGACCCTCTCTTCACACATAAAGCGCTTCAGCAAGCTAAAGTGTTTTAAATATTTGGAGTGCTACTTTAAGATCAAAGGGGAGGAAAGTCCGTTATATACTTATAACTATAAGGCACCTCATTTAACCCCTTAAGGACACATGACGTGTGACATGTCATGATTCCCTTTTATCCCAGAAGTTGGGTCCTTAAGGGGTTAAAGGGAGAAAAAAGTAGTTGGATACAAAACGTTAAGTATATATCAATCATCCACCAACAATAAAAGAATTGTGTCTGTTTAGAATCTTTAGTGCTTTGTATCCTTTCAAAGGGTAACTTTAAGAACCATAACAACTTTGCATCGTTGGAAAGTTTATTGTGCAGAAAGAACCATTCTCGCTGTGATATTGGCTTATAACTGCAATGTGCAAAATGCATAATATGTCAAACTTAATCACTACAGCTACAAGACAAATCTTAAACAGCTTTATTTACTAAATAGTGACCTGGACTATATGGGTATTAATTTATAGAGCACTATAACTCATCCAATGTGATGAGTAGAGTTGGGAGTGGGGATAGACTGTCACATAAACTATACCGCTGGACAGTAAGATCAGACCCTGCAATCCAGAATTAGAGGAGATTGACTGGTTATGCGGTCAGGTGAGGTTGGCAGGCTAATGACACTTTGTGCGCTAGCTGGATGTCTCTATTTAGCTATGAACAGCCCTGTCAGAACTGAAGTGGTTATGGTCCTTGGAGTGTTTTTTGTTTTTTTTCTGGTGGACAAATAGCTCATTGAAAAATTGCTTGTTAATCTTTCATGATAGTTCTTCTTTAGATACAGTTACACAATACCAAAGACGGAATATTTTACACCTCACTGTGTCATTGGCACAGGATCAAATGTCCTATTCCTTGCTGTGTTTATCTTCTGTCTATAGAAATGCTGCATTTAAAGGGGGCAAGAGATCTGAGCTCTTGTCAGGTTAAATGAGAAATCTGAGTTGCCAAAAAAGGTTTCTCCTTAACTTGTAAACATGAACCCATATGTAAATGACATCAACGTATTCCAAAATGATCTCATGCTTGATGTCAAAACATCTGTTGTTTCTGGAGGGGTGGGGGGTGTTTTTTGGTGCCGTAATAGGTTTATCAATATTGCCACCACTTTTTCTCATCAGAAAAGTGTTTTTTTAATGTCTCCTTTCTCTCGCTCTAAATTTGGATGCCATTTCTGAAAATTTGTTCTGTAATAAATTACATTTAAGCAAAGAAAAGCCAACACTTTTTACAGCATTTTTAGACCAATTCTATAAATACTAACAGATTAGAGACCAGAAATACAAGACATTTTTCAGAACACTTTCAAATAACTCCCACAACTGTGCTGATTAACTCGGGTTCAGTACTAGTAATTCTTTGTTGTATGCTGACATCTTGTGGCTGTATCTGTATAAATTAAAAAACAAACAAGCAATAGAAGGCGCTAAAAGTGCTTAATATTGAATAAATATAAAGATAATAAAGGTGGAGCAGCACCTAAAAGTGTACAAGCTCATAAAACACCATACATAAGATACAAATAAAATAGGTGCGCTGTACCTTTAAATATTTAAAAGTGCAAATAGTGCATAAATTAGTGCAAAAAACAAGGAGTGTGTACACAATATAACCACACTCAGTGTAACATATGTGCAAAATTGCAAGTGAAATCGTGAAAGACCAATATCCGAATAACAACTTACAGAAAAAATGTATATCTCCTTTGGTGCTCCAAATCAAATGAGAACATATGTAAAGGGAGATATAAAATGGAGAAACATAGCATAATATTGTTTAAAAATAAGTATAAGAACCAACAGTATTAAAATAGGAATATCACTCACAAAGAGAGAGCAGTAAAAGCCTGCTCTAACTGATCCAACTTATAGTCCTCAAACCAGGACGTGACCGGACGAAACTCCGAGTTCCAGGAAGTGAAACCTGCAGTGCCGAAAATTACCAAGGACTGGCAGATATTCGCAATACAGCACCGATAAAAGGTTACCAGACTTCTAAATGGAAACGGGGACTGTGGATTTTAACTTTTAATAAAGGCTGTTTACATTGAGAGCTGGCATCCTGCCTACTTGTACCATCATTGAAGTCCTGGTTTGAGGACTATAAGCTGGATCAGTTAGAGCAGGCGTTTACTGCTCTCTCTTTGTGAGTGATATTCCTATTTTAATACTGTTGGTTCTTATACTTATTTTTAAACAATATTATGCTATGTTTCTCCATTTTATATCTCCCTTTACATATGTTCTCATTTGATTTGGAGCACCAAAGGAGATATACATTTTTTCTGTAAGATATTATTCGGATATTGGTCTTTCACTATTTCACTTGCAATTTTGCACATATGTTACACTGAGTGTGGTTATATTGTGTACACACTCCTTATTTTTTGCACTAATTTATGCACTATTTGCACTTTTAAATATTTAAAGGTACAGCACACCTATTTTATTTGTATCTTATGTATCTGTATAAATGACTGAAGGAGCTATGCTAAGGTGCAAATATTTCTGCATTTGTCTATGACAAAGCCACTAGTCTCTAAGTGCTACCCCTCATCTCCTACTCCCAAGAGAAAGTGGTGACAGTATCAGGTCTTAGCCATCTGCTGTTCCATTGAGGTGCCAACAAAGGTAATTTGAAGGCAGATATCCTGTTGAACTCTTTTGGAAATGGTCAAGTAACACAAGCTCCCTGTGACTCCATGGCCTTTGCCAGTTTGGTGGTGCCAAAACAATTGATGCACCTCACTGCCATACAGTTTTCCACTTAATCTTTTAAATATCATTAGGGAATTGAAGCAAAGCTACAGACCAATCCCAAGTACTTCCTGATTTCACATCAGAACCTCTGCATATATTCAGGCTGTTATTGGCTAGTCTTCTGTGTCCCCTATCTCTCATTGGCTGTGTTATCCAGAGATGTGGTTGAGGCAGCTGACGTAAGCCAATCACAGAACAGCAGTAAGTGCAACAATAGCCTCGCAGCCTCTGAAATTTCTTTAGTTTAGTTTCATCCTATAAGCAGTTCAATAAACAAACAAAAAAAAACATTGATTTCCTTTTAATGGCCAATTATAGTATAGAAACAGACCTTTGAGATGTTCTTCCTCGAACTTGTTGCCTTCCTGCATCTCAGCCCTTTGTTTTGTAAAAAAATACATATTTTCTCTTATACCGCTATGTTGTTTTCATGCATTTCTAAACTGATTTTTGCTGTCTCTTTAGAATGAATCGAGCTGCTAAGGAAACTCTGGAGATGGATTGGTCAGATAAAGTCGAGGCATATGAAATTGATGATAAAAATGGGAGATACAATAATCAGAGTACAGAGATCCAGTTTCACCCAAACTCCTCTAAATACGAAGACAAGTAAGGAGAAACCATTGAGGGGAAAGCTTTCGGTCTATAATTATTTTGCAACCATATTACTGATAAAGTGATAAATATAAATTGTCTTGTTTGTTCCAAACATCCCCAGTTTAGTTTCCTCTTACATATGTTTAACCTAGAATCATACCTGGTATATATATTTTCCTCTTTTTCTGTGTAATAAGCATTTCACATGTAGTGTACCTGCTTTGCTTTGTACAGGGGTTAATTTGAACAATTATTGCTCACCATGTTTACTCTTTGAAACCATGATTGTATTGAAACTTTAAATATGTTACAACCCTGATTTCTTTAGAGCAGTGGTAGTCAACCTTTTTCCACTTACCGCCCACTAATGCATCTTTCTTGATGGAAAAATTTCCTTACCGCCCACCAGTTTTCGCGCAAGCGCAGAATATTTTTTAGAAAGGAGGGTGTTTTAAAAAAAAAAAAAAAATGTACGTACATTTATCTTTTTATTTCTACTTTATGCAAAGTTTAATGAGGAAGCAATAAAGTAAATTGAAATTACCTTTACTAGTGATTAATGAGATCCTTGAGGTTGATGCTGCGAGACTAAATATTTGATATCTGGTTCGATTTTCGTAAGGAACAAACAAAGGTGATTCTTTCGGTGATATTCAGAAGACTTCTCTGTTTGCTCATAAAATGATTTCTCATCTGTGCGTCAGCTCCCCTCCTCTCCCTCCTCAATTCCCCTCCCCACCTCTTTTTTCTTCCTTTTTTCTATTTTTTAACCTTCCTTATTGCAATGCCCAGTAGGAAGGCTGAGCTAGGTAGCCCACTTACTATTATTAGTCAACAACAATTCTCTCCTTTTCTTTCTTTCTTTCTTTCTCCTTTTTTACAAGTACTCTACTCCTTCTTTCTCCTATTCTACAAGTACTCTGCACCTTCTTTCTCCTTTTTACAAATACACTGCTCCTTCTTTCTTCTATTCTACAAGTACTCTGCTCACAGACAAACACACACACTCACAGACAAACACTCACACATACACTTACAGACACACACACACTCACATACTCACACATACTCACACATACACACAAACATACACATACTCACACATACACTAACAGACACACACACACACACACACACACACACTTACAGACACAAACACACATATACTTACACACACACACATATACTTACACACACACACACATATACTTACAGACACACACACATACACTTACAGACACACATACACTTACAGACACACACATATACACACAAATTATTAATATTAAATGTCCACCCAGCCTCCCTACCTGGAGAGCTGGTGTGGATCTGTCCCTGGGGTCCAGTGGGGCTTCACTTCGGCGGGCGGCTGTGTGCTAATCAGATGCGGCGAGGAAGCTCTAACCTCTCTGCTCCCTAGCGGGCTGTCTACTGATGCTGGGAGCCGGAATATGACATCATATTCCGGCTCCCGCAGAATCAACAAACATCGCACGAGGGAGCAGAGCGGTTAGAGCTCCCTCGCCGCGTCTGATTAGAACTCTGCCAAGCCGGGGGGTCCAGAAGGTGGCCTGGCAGGAGGGAGCACTTCCTCCTGCCGGTCACTTAAAACTTGCGCCCGCAGTGTTGCTCCCGCCCGCCCAAAAGGTGAAATCCTCTTAAAAAGAGGATTTAGCCTCCGAAATCCCTACCGCCCACCTGGAATCCTGAAACACCCACTAGTGGGCGGTAGGGACCAGGTTGACGATCCATGCTTTAGAGGATGTTGCGTCTACCAGGGCTTCCATCAGAAATTTTGGGGCCCCTTGCACATCTCAAGGTCTGGGCCCCCGGGTCCCACCCATGAGTCTGCCCACGGAGCCCACCCTGTGTCTACCCACAAGAATGCAGTGTGTTTAGAGTGAATTCAGTGTGTGTGTAACAAATGCAGAGTGTGTGTGTAGTGGAAACTAAGGTTGGGCGATATATATGTATATGTGTAATCAAATGGAAATTCCTCATTATGCATGTAGCCAAGGAGGGTGAGATCCCAAGGTGCTGGAGAAAACCATTCCTAAACATTTGGATAGTAAACCATATGATGGCATCAGGATACCCTAGGCAACCGAACAACCACAGTAACCTATATTGTCTATGTTGCTTAGAGTTCCCATTCATTTTGTTGCCCATACTCATCTGCTAGAATAGGAGTGTTAAATTAAAATAACTGTCTCTATTAATTAATCTTGTACCACTTTTCACTGAATGGGCCAATAAAACAATAGAAATTAAATGTTTAACACATCAACGCTGGACACTCCAAAATGTGTATATCATTAACGATTTTCCAATTAGTAAGATTTATTCACTAAACCACACATTGAAGAGAAGTTAGGATTTGTACATTTCAGGCACACAATAGCTGAGCTACTTCCATTACTGGTTTCGTGAACAAATGTCTTTACATTTACAATGTCTTTATGGTATGAAAATGAAAAATGTTTTTATCGCCTTAAAATACAATTTATATTTTTGGTTTTTCTGGTCTCTCCAGAAGGTGGCAGAATAGCATCATACATATACAACCACAGCATTCACGAGACAAATAGTAAATTAAAATGAGCTCTGTGGGGACCTGTGTTCTCATTTAAAATCGGACGTCTAAAGGTTCAACATACATATTAAATATATTTTCATTTAAAGCAATCTCTAGAATTGCAGGAAAAGCACATCTTCAAAGAACACTGCAAAAAAAAAACAGAACCAACAGAACAAACATTAAAAAGTATATTTTGAAATTTGTCGCACACAATCATCTCTACGCTGGTTTTAAATTAAATTAGCCATGTAGGGATGCGTGTTATCTTTTTAAAGTGACATCTAAAGGTTACGTATACATATTAAAAATATTCTCATTTGAATCAGTCTTGAGAATTACCGACAATGCAGATCTTCCATAAATTCAGGGAACAATGTAACCATAACACATAAACAAAGAAATACAGGAATTGCATTTTGAAACATTTGTCGCACACATTCTTTTCCATACTGGTTTTTAATCCAGGGGCTTTGACGAATTAATGAACTACCCCATGGCTGTTTTTGCAAAACAGTATTCCACACTAATGCATTATAAATGATTAGTCTCTGTATCACACTTTTCAATATATTAGTATTTACAAGGCACTGTGGCATTATTACCATGGGGAGAGGGGATGGTGTGGAGTCACCTCTATTAAAAGATAAGAGTTATAGAAAGCAGAACAGTAGCTACACTTTGATATAAAACATTGCTAAAAACAATAGATGACTTGCAATCAGAGCAGGCGCAAAGCAATCATTTAAGATAAGATTTTCAGCTCTTCGCAGGGAGGAATTAAGGAGATAATTTTGGCTGCAAAACCTTTAAAGCGATGTTTGTTTGAGGCAAATACATACCTTTTTCTTAGTTAATGTATATTATCATATTCATATTATAATTTGCCTTTTTGACTATGTTTGATCTTAAAAATACTAATAAAGTACAAATACGAGTGCTTGCTTTTTTCAGAGATCAATACTACACTTATATAATTGGAATAGCACTGATGGCTCAGAAAAAATGTAACAATGATTTCTAACTGCTTAAGGGTCAAATATTACACTTTGTAGTCACCATAATCTGACCCCTATAGATTTAAAGCAAATGGGGAAGTCCTTCTTAATTAGTTAAGCTTAATGCAGCCCTGAACAACAAGTTCTTATTATGGCATAGACTATTGCCCTTAGAAGGACACCCTAAAGTTGAAATAAATATATATTTTTTTGAATGTCATTGTATTCTCATTTTACTTTTGATTATTGCCTCTCTCCCCCTGCTGTACTCTATACAAAAAGCTATAAAACTTACCTTTATTACAGCATTAGAAAGGTCTTTTTGATGCAGCGGGTCCTCCTCCAGTTAAGTCATCAGTTCTGATGATTTTTATCCAATCACAGAGAAGTCCTGATTATAATGTTTCTTTATGTGAAGCACTAGCTGTGTTCAGCTTTGGCATGCTATGAAAAATTACACAAAATGTAAAGGCCTTCGAAGATCAAGGATCTTAAGGAGGAAGCAGATTTACTGCCTGGTTAGTTACCTATCTGACAGACACTAGAGGTGTGTTTTATCCAAAATGTAAATATTGTAATTTCTCAGAAATAGCAATGTTTTAAATTGCATTTTTGTAGCATGTGCTATTACTCACAGTGAAAGGCCAATGACATGGTGAGAGCATCAGCTGGTGTTCTCAGCTTCTCACCGGCCGCCAAAGAAAACCTGTGAATGGTGGCTGGAAGAAGAAACAGTGAAGGCAGTTGTTGGTTCCTGGGAACCAACTTTGGATATGAAAGCAAGGAGGCATCCAGGCCCCCTGTCCCAATAGCAATTTCATTAAAAATGAAGTTGTTATGGGGTGTGACTGTTCCGTTAACTCTTTGATTTCTGTAGTTAAAATTAATCTTTTGTTTGCCTGGGAATTTTCTGCTGGGAACATCTATGTCACTACATCAAACAGGAACTTTTAGCCTATTAGCCACAGAAATTTCCTGAATCAGTAAATAGAAGCAATTACCAAATTTCCAAAACCTGCTTCTCCCTGTATATCTTGAGCACCATGACTTATTCGCTGTAGTAATGCACGTTGTATGTTCTTTATCTCTTTGTTGTATATAATCAATTTGGTTAAGCCAACCGTCCCATATTAAAGACTAGTTAATAAACCCAAGTTTCTGCATTCTCTCAGTACCACCACGCCTGATTCTTGGGCCCAGTTCAGCCATGACAACATATACAAAGCTGAAAGAGAGAGACTGGCCTCAATCAATCTGCGTTCCTTGATTGACAACATCCTTCAGGATACTTCACAGGACATGCGTACCCAGTGTGGCGCTGTAGACCATGCCTTTGCAAAGCGCTGTGAGGAAGTGGAAGATGCCAGAAATAAATTAGAAATGCATCTGAAGAAGGTACTTCTTAATATATTGTGTTATTTTGTACATTTGCAAGGCTTTCGTCAGAGTTAACCTTCAAAAAATGTTTAATGCCATCTCCTTTGTTTTTCTGTGTTCCTGTCTTTGACAGTAGGTGGCACCGCTTGCCCTGTGATGAAGCTGAAACTGCCTGGGTGCAGTTTTTACTTGGGGCAAAAGACACATTGCATTATTTGTACTGCTATTTCTGTGATCCTGTTTAAAGGGACATTATAGGCACCCAAACCACCTAATATTAATTTCTGGTGTTAGCTGTTTCTTTAATATAAGCCCTTATAATATAATAGCCACTGCTTTGTCGACTAATACGTGCTGATTGCTTTCTCTTAGGTAAAAAGTTCAGGCTTTTTTTTCCAATAATACTTTCAGGTGATAGGTACCACTCCAGTTCTGGGTCCAGGTCACAATGATTTCTTGAGTTATCAATAGCAGCTTATAGAAGCTTCTGTGATAATGATTTTGGGTGATAATCATGCCTGTTTGATCATTAAAGGGTCGCTCTGGACTCCTAAAGCACTTTAGCTTGCTAAAATGCTTTAGGTGTGCAGAGTGTGTTCTCTCTTTTCATTTTACAAAAAGTGCAGATTTTTAATAGAAATTAACCTGGTTACACCCTCTCCTGCTGTCAATCAGATCGCCGGTCCTGTTACTTCCTGGTTGTTTAGCTCAATGGAGCTAAACTCAAGAGGCAGCAATTGCCCAGAGCACCTGCCTTGGAAAGACTTCTCATTGAGCTGCATTCGGAAGTCTGTGATTGGACAGCCAAATAAAGTGTGTAAGGGGAGGGCTTGTAAAGGTAACAGACAAGGTTTCTGTAGCTTTTACAAGCGTTTACAGCTTTTATATTGCTTATTGCTATACCCCCTGTTAATGTGTGCATGTTTTCATGAACTGATAGCTAGCTTTTAGGTAATCGTTTCAGGTAAGAGTTTTCTCCGGACGTGATTTCAGAATGTAGTAATTTCCCGAATTATCTATATCACATGACAGCTTTTTCACTGGTAGATTCAGATAATAACTGTTCATCGGTTCATGATTTCAGTGAGTAACGGCTTTCTGGTGGATTCACATCTCAAGTGATATTTGTTATTATCACTTGATACAATTATTGTAATAACCTTACAGCATATCTCACCCTAAGCTATTAATAGAACAATGTTTTTCTGTGTTACGAAAGGTGCGACAATGCTGTGAGCAGATGATCACTGATCGTAGATGTTGTTAGCAAACATCTATTTTCTGTACCCCTCGTGTGGCTCCTGCTATTAGAATTAATTTAGTCCCATATTTTCTCTGGCCCTTTTGCCCCTGTCGCATTTTGTCTTTAGTTTCCATAACAACCTTTCTAGTTAATAGGAGAATGCTAGATCATTATTACAAATACCCAGTACTATTTATTTTACTTATTTTCGGTCTCATGGTGAAATTGAAGCCGTTTTGGACACAGACCCTCTTGATACTGATTTAATTGGGGACCTAGGTAGGTGATAATGCTTTTTTCTCTATATATTCTTGTGATTGGCGATTTAAAGGTCAAATTTAGCTTAATGAAGCTGTTTTGCTCTGAAATTTTAGGAGTTAAATCACGTAGTTTATACAGCCCTAGTTACACCTCCCAGCATTTGATGCAGGCTATTAACAAAGCAGGAGATAAGAAGTTCTAAATTAAACACACTGCAATAAAGGAAGTTTCAAATTTAGTTCTCTCTTTACAGGAAATGGAGTTGCCTCCCCCAACCCACCCTTTTGCAGCTTTAATATTCACCACTCTTCTGGGAAGACTTTCTACAAGATTTTGGGTTGTGTGTGTGGGAATCTGTGCCCATTCAGCTAAAAGGGCATTTGTGAGATCAGTCAGTGATGCTGAATGAGAAGGTCTGACTCACAATTGGTGTTCCATTCATCCCAGAGGTGGTCAGTGCAGTTGAAGTCAGGGCATTGGTGCAGCCACTTGAGTTCCTCCACACCAGACTTACTTACTCATGCACAGAGGCACAGCCATGCTGGGACAGAAATGGGCCTTCCACAAACTGGGGACACAAAGTACGAAGCACCCAATTGTCTAAAATATCTCTTGTATCCTGTAGCATTAAGATGACCCTTCACTGGAACTTAGGGGTATAGCCCAAACCCTTGCAAACAACCCCAGACCATTTTCCATTCTACTAATCTTTACAGGAGGCACTGTGTATTCCACTAGATAGCATTCTCTACACACAGGTCCTTCTATCACAGGGGTTTCCAACTCGGTCCTCAAGTACTCCATACCAGTCCAAGATTTAGATATTACCCTGTTGTGTTTTTTTTTTCTTCTAAAAACAACTTAGACACACCTGGGTGATCCCTACATTCTGGACTGGTAGGGGCTATTTGAGGGCTGAATTGGGAACCCCTGTTCTATCAGATTGCCAGATAGTGAATGATTATTTAACACTCCAGAGAACACATGTTCACTGCTCCAGAGTCCAATGTTTTATGTGCTTCAGTACTCGTGCCCTCACTCTGTGAGTATATGTGGTCTAGCACTTTATAGTTGGGCAGTTGTTGCTCCTAGATGCTTCCACTTCGCAATAATAACACTCACACTTGACCAGGGCAGATCTAGAGTTGTGGCAAAGGTGGCCTCCTATGACAGTTCCATGTTTAAAGTCACTAAGCTCTTCAGTACGACCCATTGCACCGCCAGTGTTAGTCTATAGAGATTGTTTATGCATCTGTTGGCAGTGGATGAGCCTGTAACATCTGAACTCAGTAAGCAGTATGGGTGTTCACATAAATAAAAGCATATGCAAAGATATTCACTAAATTGAGAATTAAAAGTGAATTTCCAAATTTAAGCAAAAGTAGCCAAACTGGAAGAATAGCTGCCTTAGAAAATTTTTCCAAGTCAGCTATTGTGACCTTAAATGTGATTATGGAATTGTTTGCGTGCTTGTTTTTTTTTAAGAAGAAAATTGAATCTAAGTTTTTGACATCCTGCTTGTTTGTCGAAACATTTACCGTAGGTTTTCTTTTTGTTACAAGGATTCCGTGTCAGTTATTGCATTACCCGTTTTACAATGCAGAGCCATTTCAGTACAGTGCTTGTACCAGGTACCAAACACAGCCACCCTGTCTGTGTAAATAGTGCTTTTAATACATTAAAGAGACTTCTGCCTGTGGATGGCAATATCCTTGCAAATATTTGAGTTTCTTCAAATGCCTGTAGGCACAGTTATTGGTTAAATAAAACTCAGTGAGGCTGCATAGAAAAAGGCTCATGAATAATTAAATGCATTGATCCTTTTTCTCTTTTTATTTTATTTCTTTTTACAGACCTTAGGAGAAATCGGGGACCAGGAGAACAATATTGCGTTTCTAAAGCAAGCTATTAAGGATAAAGAAGCACCAATGAAAGTTGCTCAAACAAGACTTTACCAACGATCGTATAGACCTAATGTTGAGCTCTGCAGAGATCCTGTTCAGTTCAGGTATGCTTCGCATGGTGGTGACTCACATTTGGCACTGCAACTGATGTGGTTTCAGTCTCTCAAGATGTTCAGCCTGCCATTTGTCTGGCTTACCTTCTTGAAAGTCTGACTCCACGGCACCTGGAATACCAAATGACATGTAGAACTGTACTAACAAATACGTGAAACATCTGGGCTATTATCTTGCAAAATCTTGGTTCGAGAGCCAGATTTTTTTTTTTTCTCCGCTGTGACAAGTTTATTCCTAAATTAATGAGTGAGACGTCTATTGCTCTGTGCTGAAGTGTTTGAAGATTGATGAGATGGCTCTTAATAACATGTCTATGCCAATTCTAATCAGACCTGACTAGCAAGACTCAAAGGGACCGTGACTCATGTTTCAGCAGCGTAACTCTGTCCATTGAGATAAGTTCAAGTATTGTTTAATTTCATAGTACTATGTTCTATGCAGCTGAAACGGTTTATACTGTTGCTAACTTAAAATGGATTTAACTTGTTGGTGGACTATTTGCCTATGACGCAGGTTAGCTCTGCCTCAGTATTTTAAGTTGAGCGGGTCACTACTAGCAGTTTAAATAATAATAAAAATCTAAATAAATATAAAGATTAATTATATACCCAACAATTTGAATAGGGATCTGTCCAATGCATTTTTCAAAATATATAAAGTTTGGCTGCCATACAAGTAGTGAGACGTTCGGGTTTCCTCTATCTCTAAATGCAATTTTACATCCATGTAAACCTCCAAGCCCATCATCGGTTGGGGAGATGAGACTTGAATCCCAAAAAGAGCAGGATGTTTATAGTGTTACACCTTGATCAAGGTACTAAATAAACAAGTAAAAAGAAAACTAATAAAAACACATTTGTTTGTATTGTAAAAACCCTATAATAATTTATTATTCCACTGCACATCAATCTGAAATGTAACAAGTTAATACGGGAAAACAAAGCTGTTTTATTCTATTCAGATCTTCTTCTTGTCCAAAAAAATGTTTGTTTTTTTCTGTGTTTGTTTCTTTAAATCTGGTCTTACTTTGTTGTGCGAGGTATGTTTTACATTTTCTAAAATTGTAAAATAAGGATATTATTGTTACTAAGGGGTTGTTTAAAATTCTACTATACTTACCGGCACACTTCCAATCTTAAGTGCCATGATGCCAGGTTCTTATGAGCTTTCACCAGTGATGGAACGCTAAATGTTTGGGGACAATTCTACTGTGGTCCCTTATCTAATGACAAAATTGTTACTTATGGTTAAGGCAAAAAAGCATTTTCTGTTTATAACCAATTTATTCCTTTTAAAATTCAAGAGTTTTCTTGTTTAACATATTGGGGTAGCACCTACCAAAGGACCATATCAACCTCCATCAATGATGTGACTTTAGAGAATCTTTCATTTTTAATCTCAGAACTAGAACCTTGGGAATAATGTATGCAAAATTATATCAACGTGAATAAACTCTGAATACTCTTGTTTATGTGATGCATCCTTCATCACTCAAGTTCTCAGTGGGTTGAATGCCTACATTATTATTATTATTATTATTATTATTATTATGATATTTATATAGCGCTTTAAAATGGGTGGACGAACAGACATGTAGTTGTAACCAGACAAGTTGGACACACAGGAACAGAGGGGTTGAGGGCCCTGCTCAATGAGCTTACATGCTAGAGGGAGTGGGGTAAAATGACACAAAAAGGTAAGGATAGTATTAGACTAGTGACAGTTGCAGAAGAGGAATCAGTCAGGAGCTATTAACAGTTTAATTGATACGCTTTTATGAAGAAGTGGGTTTTTAACGATTTTTTGAAGGAGTGGAGACTGGGTGAGCATCTAACGGAGGAGGGAAGCGAGTTCCACAGGAACGGTGCAGCCCTCAAGAAATCTTGAAGGCAAGCATCAGAGGTGGGAGCACGGACAGAAGATAGACGTAAGTCTTCAGCAGATCGTAAGGGCCTAGACGGGACATACTTGTGTATAAGGGAGGATAGATAGGTGGGAGCAGCATTATGTAGAGATTTGAAAGCAAGAACCAGAATTTTAAATTGAGCTCTATATTTTATAGGAAGCCAATGTAGGGACTGACAGAAGGGTGAGGCATGGGAGGTGGGGGCGGACTGGAAGATGAGCCTCGCTGCCGCATTCATTATGGACTGTAACGGCGCAAGTTGGGAGCATGTAAGACCACTGAAAAGCGGATTACAGTAGTCAAGGCGAGACAGTGGAATGGACCAACACCTTAGTCGCATCTGGCGTTAAGTAGGGGCGGATGCGCGCAATGTTTTTGAGATACATACATCTTGGGTTTAGCTTTGGTTACTTTCTTCTACAGTTTGCTGCTGTGTGCCATAGCTTTCCTTCATGGGTAAGGCTGGGATAGCTAAAGTGGGTCTTCATACTTTCTGTCAAGTTAAGTCAATAAGATAACTGGCTTTTTTTTACTGTTAGACAGTAGTGTGATAGACGTACAGTAATCTTTTGCTTCTTTTGTTCTATCTATAAGACCCTACTCAGGAATCATCATTTCATTCCCACACCGGAGAATTTCCTTTGAAAATGTAGGTCTTTGTGCACACACTACAACAATGGAGTTGAAAATGATTCGGATGCTGTAATCTATAAAAAGAAATTGCTAGAGATTTCTTCTCTTTGTGTGCGGAGTGTATAAATTCCTCGACCTGTGTTTAGACTGCTACGATCGCTTTAATAATCCAGATGGCACAATTGTCCCGCACATCGTAGTCATCAAAAACGTATTTACGGAAATGATTAGAACACGAACTGATCTTCTACAAAATCAAAATGACATTGTATAAGAATGGATTTCCAGGAAGCCCCCTAAAATTGTTTCCATGGTTTCTCTATACTTACTGCCATATAAATACTAATATAGTTATTTATGTGGGTGTGAGTTCAAATGGGTTAATGATAGCCTCCTCACTAGCCACAAGAATAACAGAAGAAAACAATCTCTATGCACACTCTGACTTTTCATAAGAATATAGCCTTGTTTCTATATTTAACTCCCAAAGGATGACTATGTCAAAGTGTGCACATGAGGGTACATTGAATCTAAAATAAGAAGGAATCTTGGTATCGATATGAAAGTGATAGCATAATAATCAAATAACCACCAGCTTCAGCTTAGAACTTTATTGATCGTGTGTAGCAAGGGTCTTCATACATTAAAAGAGGAACAATGATCCATTTGAATATCTCCTAAAATGGTAATTGTTCTTACAATTCAAGTGTAACTTGAAGCTACCATTAAAAGTTACAACATCAAAACTGGGCATGTGCCTTTTCTACAACTGGACAAATAAGTCTAAAGATTTAATCTCTTCAGATCTATTCTGAACTTTTGAACTAAGCGATGTCCAAGTAAACATGGTCTGCTCAATCTCAAGTACCTCCTTTTGAGACCACTACTGTAGACTCAACGTATTCAGCTTACATCAAAACCAACCATCCTTTACACCATCATGGAACTGTCCCTGGGTCTGTTTTTTTTTTTTTTTTTGTAAATTTGATTTTATTCAGGTTTTTGGCTTGACAATATTTACATAACAAAACAGGTGAGACACGCAGGTCTGTCCCTGGGTCTGTTAACACTTCCTCTCTCTCTGGCTAACCTCTGCAAAAAGGGAAAAGCCATTTAGAAAAAAATAAAAATAAGTATTTTAAAAAGAAGAAGAGAAAATACAGTTTGTACTCCATCAGTTTTATTGCATAAAATGGCTGATAGTAGCAAGATGGCTGGCGGCAAATCAGTAGCAGGTTCCACATGTTATCAGTAGAAATATCCACCGTTACTTGTGATCTCATAGCATACGGGAGACAAGCAGAAGGAATGTGAAGCTTCTACAATCGAAATGCTAAAGGCTAATTCCTTCAGCGATTACCCTCCCCCTTCTAGGAAAAAGGAGACAATCCGGAAATATTGACATGCCTTGTTTACTACGATTATTAAGCCACCATAAGCCTGGACATGCTCTCTGAGCATTGTGTATCTTTATTTAGCTGTCCCTGAAATAACCCTTGTTCACCTTCCATAGCAACTTAATTAAGCTACATTTGGCCGTGGCAAACGAAAAACTGTTGGAGTGTTAACCTGTTCACCACATACTTCTAACAAAATGTATGATTTTTTTTTAATGTCTAATCTACCTGTTAATTGATTTGGAAATCTGTGATCTAAATTAGAATTCTAGTTTTCACTTTAATGTAATTACCGTATCTATTTATCATTGTCAAAATCCATTGCCTGAGACATGCCATTGGCTTAAATGGTAGATCCCCGTATATATTAGAACTGCAACTATCGGATCCTATAGGAATAGAATAATACAGTTTGCCAATACATATAACCACTACGCTGTAAAAGTAAACGGCTTTGCTAATGCGTTCTCTTCGAACAAGCAAGTCTTCAGACACAGGGAGCCACCAGGTTTGGTATACAGTGAACTTTTACAATGACCGTTTTAGAGAAAACAAAACTTATCAACACAGAAGTTTAAACAGTGTGCATTACAAGATAATTGCTGAATTTCTGAGACACAAAATCATCATTGGAATGAAGAGAAATATTTTGCTTGGTTGACCTGTTGACTCTCCCAGTCTTCAAATTTATGTGTCTGTCAATTGGTTTACAGCTTCCTATAAACCCAGACCACCAAGTTCTGAAGTTTAAACTTATCTTGGTTAAAATATTACAAATATCTTACTCTCCAGGTGAATAAATAAAGTGACAAGAAAACTTGTTTGTTTCCTGTTAGCTATGCTTGAATTTTAAGTAGCTGGTCTTTGATGCTTTTATGTAGATCAAATGCAATACAAATAGGAATAGATCCAGATAATAGGTACTATATATACACAATATAGGTGAGAAGCTGCCACTCAAATAGGCACACCCCAAATTGCCTATAAGACCAAATAAAGAAGAAGAAAAGGATGTGTACAAACCCACCTAATGAGGGCGCTAGACACTACAAACAAGTGTACAAATGTGATATTAAAAATATTAGAATTTATTCTGTGCAATTCGCAGTAAATCTAAAAAAAATAAAACTAAATACAAATATCGAATATTAATGCAAAGCAGTACAATTTTAAGACAGGGAACAAAGCCCGACACCAACCACTCAGCTCACAAGTAAATGAATGATATACACAGCCCTTGGTCGCGGCTCCCAGGGCTGAAGTATACTTGCAGCTCACGATGCAATAAAACCGTGGTTGTGAAGTAATGGTCTCTGGACTGCTGAACTTTCGAATGACTCTGGCTCTAGGAGTCTGGCTCTAAGCTTAGAGCCAGAGTCATTCGAAAGTTCAGCAGTCCAGAGACCATTACTTCACCACCACGGTTTTATTGCATCGTGAGCTGCAAGTATACTTCAGCCCTGGGAGTCGCGACCAAGGGCTGTGTATATCATTCATTTACTTGTGAGCTGAGTGGTTGGTGTCGGGCTTTGTTCCATGGTCTTAAAATTGTACTGCTTTGCATTAATATTCGATATTTATATATTGTTTTATTTTTTTTATATTTACTGCGAATTGCGCTGAATAAATTCTAATATTTTTAATATCACGTTTGTACACTTGTTTGTAGTGTCTAGCGCCCTCATTAGGTGGGTTTGTACACATCCTTTTCTTCTTTTTTATGTAGATCCACTGTTTACATTTGTGGACCCACTTTTTAACTCATTTGACCAAAAAATCTCACAATATGCCAGTGTTTTCTTAAATTAGGTTAAAAAACATACAGATAAACACTTAGGCACCCAAATACAGGGAGTGCAGAATTATTAGGCAAGTTGTATTTTTGAGGATTAATTTTATTATTGAACAACAACCATGTTCTCAATGAACCCAAAAAAACTCATTAATATCAAAGCTGAATATTTTTGGAAGTAGTTTTTAGTTTGTTTTTAGTTATAGCTATGTTAGGGGGATATCTGTGTGTGCAGGTGACTATTACTGTGCATAATTATTAGGCAACTTAACAAAAACAAATATATACCCATTTCAATTATTTATTATTACCAGTGAAACCAATATAACATCTCAACATTCACAAATATACATTTCTGACATTCAAAACAAAACAAAAACAAATCAGTGACCAATATAGCCACCTTTCTTTGCAAGGACACTCAAAAGCCTGCCATCCATGGATTCTGTCAGTGTTTTGATCTGTTCACCATCAGCATTGCGTGCAGCAGCAACCACAGCCTCCCAGACACTGTTCAGAGAGGTGTACTGTTTTCCCTCCTTGTAAATCACACATTTGATGATGGACCACAGGTTCTCAATGGGGTTCAGATCAGGTGAACAAGGAGGCCATGTCATTAGATTTTCTTCTTTTATACCCTTTCTTGCCAGCCGCGCTGTGGAGTACTTGGACGCGTGTGATGGAGCATTGTCCTGCATGAAAATCATGTTTTTCTTGAAGGATGCAGACTTCTTCCTGTACCACTGCTTGAAGAAGGTGTCTTCCAGGAACTGGCGGTAGGACTGGGAGTTGAGCTTGACTCCATCCTCAACCCGAAAAGGCCCCACAAGCTCATCTTTGATGATACCAGCCCAAACCAGTACTCCACCTCCACCTTGCTGGCGTCTGAGTCGGACTGGAGCTCTCTGCCCTTACCAATCCAGCCACGGGCCCATCCATCTGGCCCATCAAGACTCACTCTCATTTCATCAGTCCATAAAACCTTAGAAAATCAGTCTTGAGATATTTCTTGGCCCAGTCTTGACGTTTCAGCTTGTGTGTCTTGTTCAGTGGTGGTCGTCTTTCAGCCTTTCTTACCTTGGCCATGTCTCTGAGTATTGCACACCTTGTGCTTTTGGGCACTCAGTGATGTTGCAGCTCTGAAATATGGCCAAACTGGTGGCAAGTGGCATCGTGGCAGCTGCACGCTTGACTTTTCTCAGTTCATGGGCAGTTATTTTGCGCCTTGGTTTTTCCACACGCTTCTTGCGACCCTGTTGACTATTTTGAATGAAGCGCTTGATTGTTCGATGATCACGCTTCAGAAGCTTTGCAATTTTAAGAGTGCTGCATCCCTCTGCAAGATATCTCACAATTTTTGACTTTTCTGAGCCTGTCAAGTCCTTCTTTTGACCCATTTTGCCAAAGGAAAGGAAGTTGCCTAATAATTATGCACACCTGATATAGGGTGTTGATGTCATTAGACCACACCCCTTCTCATTACAGAGATGCACATCACCTAAAATGCTTAATTGGTAGTAGGCTTTCGAGCCTATACAGCTTGGAGTAAGACAACATGCATAAAGAGGATGATGTGGTCAAAATACTAATTTGCCTAATAATTCTGTACTCCCTGTACACACGCAGGCATTTTCTCTAGACACAAGACTTGTGCATGATGTAAACATTTGGTTCAACCTAATTAAATAAAGAGATATTGTTTGGTTAGTCTGAAATTCATTCATAGGGCTCATATTATTTTCAACATTGCAAATGATTTGGGAAAATGTTTTGGATGAACACAAAGGGTGCAAAACTGCAAAATATATACATGATATAAATATTATATTATGTGCATGTTTTGCAGTACACTGACTGGTACATTTTCCTGCTATTTAGGTCACAGATCAAGTGAATTGGAAAAAAAAAGGCCGAACAGTTAAAAAACCCGTAATATATAATTTTTTATTTTAATTTTTTATTACTTTTCCTCCTTTTATAGTATAGTTTCTTTCTTTTTTTTGACTGTTCATCCTTCTATTGATCATCTCTCACTTGATTTGTGAATAAAGTAAACATTTAGTGCTTGTCCCCTAGCCATCAATCATCTTCTTTTTTTTTGTCTCTCCACCAATCATCTTTTTCTGGGGCCATAGACAGAATTCTGAATCACAAAACAAACGAACATGCTCGTCCATTGCCCAGTTTGTTTGTTTGTGATACATCCATGGCGCTTCAGAGTTACGAAATTCAGATGGCCTGCAGAATGCCTGAAATCGGACAGATCCCAGTTCGTTTGAAATCAAACGAACAAGTCTAATAGACACACTTACTGGTACATACAGGTACACATTCACAGACACACACATTTTTATAGAGACGTTTTATGTTCCTACTGCTGTAAATGAAAAATTATGCCACTCACAATACTTAAAAGATAGCATCCAAAAATTCTCTACCGATTCGTTCATCTAAACAATAAGGGACAAAAAAACTATTGCTATCTGTCTTCATGTTTCACTTGAATATTTTTATTAACTTGTCTTTATTTTTTATTTTTTTTAAGGTTGATCAGTGAAGTTGGAGAACTCACAGATTCTATTGAGGTTCTAAAACTGAGACTGGAAAATGCAGAACAGTGTCTTATAAACCTGGAGGACACCAGGATGTCACTGGAGAAAGATATTGTCAACAAGGCTAACAGCCTGTTTATTGATAGGGAGAAGTGCATGACCCACCGCACCCGTTACCCTGTTATCATGAAGCTGTCTGGATATCAGTAGATATGTTTGAAAGGAATAGAAATGATTTATAAAGAGCTTGATTTCCTCATTGAAGTGAACTGAACTCAAGCTATTTATAAAGAAAATAATTTCATTTCTGACGTGAATCGAAATGAATAAAGTTTATGAACTAATGCATTGTTTTGCATCTATTATTCCTGCATCTAACTTTTGTAATTGGCAGTGTAATAAAACCACAGCAAGCTTAAAATCAGATGATCGGTACAATTTAAGTACCTAAGCCGCTTCATCCCATTCTATTAGGGGTCTTTGGAAGCTCTACCCCATGGGCCATGTTCAGTCTAGACATTCTTAAGTGGTGTGAAAGAAAAATCCCGGTACCCAAAGCACAGTCTCTCTGCAGACAATACAAATATAGTGCATTCATTTTTAGACTACCTTTAAAGCACACAAAGGTTTTGTTTTTTAACACCTGATATCTGTGTTTTATATTTATTTTTAGATTTTTAAGAGAGAAGCAATCAATGAGTTGCAGAAGAAAAAGTTATCTCTGTGTGTGTGTGTGTGTGTGTGTGTGTGTGTGTGTGTGTGTGTGTGTGTGTGTGTGTGTGTGTGAGAGAGAGAGAGAGAGAGAGAGAGAGAGAGAGAGAGAGAGAGAACAGGGAGAAAGAGTCAGCGCTAAATAATAGAAATAACAGGATAGAAGCAACCCAAAAAGGGAATCCCTCAAGACCCTTAATAGAAAATGCTAAGGGCTAGTAGCAGTAGTCTTTAACAATAAAAACCAGACCGAATGGTCTAAATGGCTAAAGAACAAGTAGGCCTATATAGATAATAAAAAACGGTAGAGAATAAAAATCTCACTTAAGACAACAGAATAAAAATAAAGGTAGATCCGTTCGGATAATAAAATATAATGTGGAGGTTAATAAAAAGTCATATAAAAGTCTCACTGATATATCTGGATAGGGTAGGGGTACAGTCCTCGGGAGTTGATCCGTCCGCATTGTTAAAATATCCGTATAAGTGAAGACAAAAGGAGAACACGACAGACAGCCGATAGTGTGATATTGTTAAAATCCAACGATAGAATAAATAATAGGAGGATGATACACTCACATTTATGAGAGCTCTTACCAGCTCTGGGGTGAAGGGCGTGTTGCGTTATAATCCCCGCTAGAGGATATAGTGGAGAGGTGCCTCTGTCACTCCGGCCTGGTTTATTCAGTGCTCCAAGGTATATATATATATAAAAAAAAAATATATATATATATATATATATATATATATATATATGTAAAACAAGAGGGGGTTGGCTGCACTCACCTTAACATGCATAAATGGGGGTGCTGCTGGGGGCCAAATAATACAATACACAAGATCCAGCGCACTCACCTATCAACTAAACAGCAACTTCAATGTCGAAAGATTTTAATTTGTTTTTTTTAAAACACCTAATCTAGGCAAAAATAATGGGGGTTTAGTTACATTATATGATCATACATTGCATAAGCCTGCCACAACGTCAATGTACCCCATCTTTGGCAGGTCCTACACCAACAGCCTAATGTCTGCTCTTATGAGATTAACCTACTTGGGGAAAAAAATTCCATCTGGGGCTCTCTGCAGTACAAGGCTAAATAGGGCCCTGGGATGAGGCACCTGTGACAGGGAGGGGTGCAAAACCAAGGAGTTGGCTAGACTCCCAAATATATATAAAACAAGAGGGGTTGGCTGCACTCACCTTAACATGCATAAATGGGGGTGCTGCTGGGGGCCAAATAATACAATACACAAGATCCAGCGCACTCACCTATCCACTAAACAGCAACTTCAATGTTGAAAGATTTTAATTTGTTTTTTTTAAAACACCTAATCTAGGCAAAAATAATGGGGGTTTAGTTACATTATATGATCTGTATGGCTGTTAGTGTAGGACCTGCCAAAGATGGGGTATGATCATGTATGTAACATTGAAGTTGCTGTTTAGTGGATAGGTGAGTGCGCTGGATCTTGTGTATTATATATATATATATGTGTGTGTGTATATATATATATATATATATATATTTATATATATATATATATATATATATATATATTTGAGCACTGAATAAACCATGCCGGAGTGACGGACGCACCTCTCCACTATATCCTCTAGCGGGGATTTTTATATACCTTGGAGCACTGAATAAACCAGGCTGCAGTGACGGACGCACCCTTACTATATCCTCTAGCGGGGATTATACCGCTACACGCCCTCCACCCCAGAGCTGGTTAGAGCTCTCATAAATCTGAGTGTATTATCCTCCTTTTATTTATTCTGCTGTCTGTCGTGTTCTCCTTTTGTCTTCACATATACGGATATTTTAACAATCCGGACGGATCAACCCCCGAGGACTGTACCCCTACCCTATCCAGATATATTAGTGAGACTTTTATATTACTTTTTACTAACCTCCACATTATAGTTTATTACCCAGAAGGATCTACCTTTATTTTTATTCAGTTGTCTTAAGTGAGACTTTTATTCTCTACCCATTTTTTATTATCTATATAGGCCTACTTGTTGTTGTTTATCCATTTAGACCATTCGGTCTGGTTTTTATTGTTATAGACTACTGCTACTTAGCCCTTAGCACAGCCCTTCCCCCTTTACATTTTCTTGTGTGTGTGTGTAGAAGGGACCAATGCTTGTGGGGCTACTTGTGTGATTGGAGGATGGGTCTGTTTGTCATATAGTGAGTGTGTGTTGGGTATTTGAACTGTTTTCGTAATGGCCAGTCTGGGCCTATCACCAAACATTACACATTAAATTAGCCTCTACACTAACCCTAAACATTAATCCCTACATTTTGCTAACACTAAGCATTAATTCCTACAGTACCCTAACATTAAATATTAACCAGTACACTACCTTAAGACTTAACTAACCCTAAAGTAAATATCATGTAATATAAAAGGCGTATAACGCTGAAGCATATATTAGGGGGGAAAAATACCATCACAGGGTTCTCGAGATATTTTTCGACTACAGGACCGAAGGTCTGGAGGGGATTTAATTATACAGCATGGCAAGTTTAACAAAGAACTAAGACGGGAATCTTAGGATAGAATCCCATGGGTCTCGTTTACCAAGCCAAGCCATATCTCACTAAATCCTGTCTTCTGCTGTTTGTTAGAACACTGAGCTGCTGCATTTGAAGCATCCCCCACCATCCTAATACAGTAAATAAGCTTATAGTCAGTATGTTTTTCGTTTGATCTCTATTTTTGTACCATTTGCAATAGTTGCCTGGAGCAGTCATGTAATTTTGCAATTCTAATTTTTATTGCTTATGGGTTGTTTTTTATTTTTTTATATATTTTTATTATCACTTCCTTCTTTCCAGTTATACTCTTAGTACATATAGAAACAGAATACATATTCATTTGGAAAATAGCTCTATCCATTTAAATCAGATATAAAATAAAATGCCGGCAACTAATCTATATCGGTTTTATTTAGCCAATGTCCTTATAGGTTTAGCTGCACCATTTCAACATAACATCTTTTTCAGTGGGTAAGTTTAATGGTTAGGTAAAAGAAACTAGTAAGTACGGTTCAATACATTGTAGAAATACTCCCATATTAGGAATGCTTTGTAGTTGAGTACACTTCTGAAATGGCAGTGAACAATGAACATCATAATGGATTACAGGGGACACTCCACTGCCCAAACACACAAAAAAGTGCATTTATTTAATTTTGCGTTTTTTTTTTTTCATTGGGGGTATCAAAAAACAACTTGTGAAAGTGGCAGATCTCTTGTTTGCAGACTTTTCAGGACCTCCCTTTCTAACCCTGCCCAGACATTCTGTGGCTGTCCAATCACAGACTTCCCAATGCAGCTCAATGCGAAGTCGTTGCAAGGCAGGTGCTCTGGTCAATTACTGTGACTTGAGTTTACCTCCAATGATCTAAACAACCATGGATTAACAGGACCTGTTGTTTGACTGATAGCCAGGGGTATGTAATAAGGTTAATTTATAAAAAAAAAGTGTAATTTTCTATTGAATTTATAGAGGTAATAAGGACACACTCTTCACACAAAAAGCACTTAAATAAATAAAGTGCTTTAGAGGTCTGCAGTGTCCTTTTAAAGAAAAAAAATGCACGCACAAGAAAAGTTTCTAATCTTACATGTCTACTTAAAGGGTTGCTACAACCACCATTACTACTTCAGTGAGTTGAAGTGGTCATGGTGGTAGAAGTATGTATGTGCAGTGTTTCAGCTTGATCGAGACCCTGTTCCACACACCAATCCATCCTTAAATTCCTAGCAGATAGGTAACACTGTCTCGTACCAGGGCCCCAAGAGTCCCAGAGGCAGCAACCAAGGTTATCATCACCTGTTGAGATCGGATATGATGAAGGACCCTCGCAATTATCACAAAGGGGGGGAAAGCTTAGGCTCTGTGGACCGGCTAAGTCTGAAAAAATGCACCTACCACTTTGCTCTCAAGATCCTGAAGAAGTCCGGAGTCTGGTGATTGTTGCGAGAAGCAAACAGTTCAAATTCCTCCAGGATGCAAGGGCGGTAAACCCAGTTGGTTCAGCTTTCAGTCACTGCCTTCCCTTCAATGGCAAGAGAACCATTGTGCCGTGAGGCTGGTCTCCCTCGGCAGATATTTCACCTTCAATATGTTGCAAGGATGTCAAAACTCTAAATCTCCTTCGTAAGATCTGACAAAACGTGGGACCTAGCGCCACCGAGGTGATTGATGTAACACACTGCAGATACATTATCCATCGGAGCACAATGCAACAGTTGGACCTCCTCTTTGCCAAACTGCAGATAGCAAATCCTGCCAGGATTCCAAGCAACTAATGTGCATAGAGAGCTCTTGAACTTTCCACATCTTTCCTGTGGAAAGACCTCCGTTGTTCGCACTCGATCACCAAAGGCTGGCATTGTCAAATATGGCCCAGCTCTTCCAGGCCCGCATGCTGTCCAGCCACCACTGTGGTTCCATCTGAACCTTGATTGTCATTGGGACCAGTTGGTCAGAAGCTGCAATTCCTTAGGCACGTGTGCAGAAATTTAAACAGGGAAGTCAGGTAGTGTCCAATCCCCAGAGCAGGGGTGGCATTTGTTGCCTGTTGCATGCGTTGGCCTGTAGCAGCTAGAATGAACATTGCGTCCACCTGGGATGGGGCATTCCCATATCATCCCCGCCCTCCAGCACTTGGGGTTCACCCAGGTCTTTTACAAATGCAGAGTCCGACCTCACGGTGGAACCCCAAATGTCATCGTCAGATCCAAAAGCATCTGCTTGCCACTCATCAAGTATTCAGAGGAACTGGGGTATGTCGTTGTCCTCATCCGAGGAGTGACCATGTGGTGGGAGCTGAGAAGGTGTTGCCACATGCAGTTTGCCACATTCGAGGGCTTTTTGTCCTTGGATGATTTATGCCAATGCATAAATTGCCACAAGGGCAACAGAACGTAAGCAGACAGACCACAGCAATACCTATTAGGCACTAAGAGCAGTGGTTGGGACCAGGTTCAGGAGGTATGGGCCAAAATGTACAGTTTGGCAGAATAAAATCAGGCACAGTAAGTACAGGCCGTATACCAAACGTGGTCAAACAACTACGGTTCACCCAGTATAGGAGACAGCAAAAGTAGGCTCCCGTCAGCAGTAAAATTACCATGCAAATAATAAGGGTGGTCACTCCATAAACCAGTAGGGCAAGCAGCACCTATCACTCAAGTAAAACCCTCATGGTCAATACACTGACCTTAAATTCAGTACACACACCCAGGTAGGCAGAATTGATTGTAAAAAAGGTATAACCTTGTAGAATCAGTGGAATGCTTCACTTATTTTGTGTGTCATTCTTGCGCAAGGGCCATGCTAATCTTCTCTGTATTGTTCCAATTTTAGCATTGGTGATGCAGACAGGCACTGTGTGAAGGAGCGGTCAGCCCCCTAATCATGGCACTACAATGTGAGTGCACCAACATGGCGAGATCCAAGATAGCCACCGCGAAACAACGAGTACAGAAGAGCCGAGGATTGTCCGACGCCGGCAAGTGGCATGTCGTCGTATCACGGCCTAGCCCACAAGGAAGGAGGGAAACAATTAACACAACCCCTGCCAGAGAAAGGAGAAAAATAGTAATGGGGCAGACAGAGCCTGCCAGGAAAATGACAAAAAAGCCCAATGTACAGGTAGATAGTGCGAGAGAAAGGGAGAAACAGTAATGGGTGAATCGGATGAACCTACACCTGCTGTGATTGAGGAGTGAGAGCAGGAAGCGGTTCTGTACTTTGGCGGTCTTTTTTCCCCATCGGATGAACTTACCTGGCATTGAAGTTATTGCGAGCGTCGGCAGTGAGTGAGTTCTGTATATATCGCGGTCTTTTTTGAAGATCCCGACCGCGATATACTTTATAGCATTTTGAGGAATCCTGTGTGCCTTTTGCTGGACTTTAACATCTCCTGAAGTATACCATTACCGCCTCCAGCTCGCATCATTCATTATTTTTATTCATTTGTCTTTTTCTACACTCTCTGTGTATGTACCTCGGTGGGGGGCCCACACCGAGGAAAGGTATTTTACAGTATATACCTAGTTTTGTATTATTTGTTACAGTTGTTATATTTGTTTCTGAGTTTGGTGGGGATAATACTCTGACACTTTGTTGTTATTTTTTACCTAGTGTCTGAGTTAACCCTTCTGACTCAGTTGTGCATTCTGCATTTCTGTAGATTTATATTTTCTCTTTCTAAGAGATACATTGTTTTTTATTCTCATCTCAGCAGGTTTAGGTCATCTGTGATCTGTTTTTTTATATTTATTATTATTTTTTTTTTTATATATATAATTTTTTTGGAATAAAATACTGTTTTATTGATTTATTTATATTTTCAATATGTTTCATGAGTAAAGAGCGCTCACGCTTTGTTTAACCTTTGAGCTTACACTCATTCATAGTCGCTAGTGGATGCGTGTAGCTGCTCCTATTTTTATTATTTTCTTACATATATTTGCACCTCTATTGTATATTTTCAGTAGTTTGCAGGAAGAGCCTGATGGAGAGAATAGTAAAACAGGGGATACAAACAGATCTCACACTAATACAACCCCCAAAGAATAAAATTAAATAAACATCATTCACAATCCAGCAAACTGACACAATAATACAATATAGAGAGACAGTGAAGGGAGTTGAAACTCTGATCTGTACTTGTCATGGAGCAGCAAAGAAAGAGGAGGAGCTTGGGCTCATTGTGTTTCACATATACATGACTTGTTTCTGATTGGTTCTTGTTTTTCTATGGGTTTTTTTTGCGGTTAAGAGTTCAGTAAAGAAAAATATGCAAAGTATGAAGCCTCCTGTCATGTAGTAAAATTGTATTTTCATGTCTGTGCTGTTCCCTTAATGTGTGTTTTCTAGATAGTTTCAGTAACTTATAGCAATAGAGCTATGAAATGTATGCAGTAGGATGAAGGAACTGCCAATCTGTATCAAGCAATTTTGCAGTTTAGAGCAAATTAAAGATATTAGGCTGCCACACCTACTGTGCTGAGCAGGCCTGATAAAAGGCTTATCGTTATATCAGAAGTCCAGAGCTAGAGGGCCCTTATAACTAGTTTCTTGTTGCCATAGTCTGTATTGGATTATTTACTGCACAAAACCAAATGGAAAAAGTACATTTCTCAGTTTCTGGTAAAAAATGGTAGCTTTAAAGTAAAAAATAAATAAATCTAATTTATAGACAAGTGCTAATAATACTCAATATATACGTTCCAACACTGGGAGATATGTGTGCAAGACTGTGTTGCGGGTGGGGCATGCCACCCTAAAAAGATGGTTTGTCAGACTGGTGTGCATGCTTGCAAAATCGGCCTGCAGCCAGTCTGGCTATCCCCCTCATGTAGTCTATGTGCAGAGCACATATGAACTTATGGACTAAGCTTAGTTTGAGCAGTGTGACTGCCTTTAGTGATATAGCCTGTTTGTGCTTTTTTGGGACTTATCTCTACTAGAATGTTATTGAAATTGGACCACCAGAGAGAAAACCTTGGACATGGGTACAGGCAGGGCCGGATTAACATAGAGGCTGATGGAGCTGATTTTTACTACTCTTCACATGCTCTTGCTTAAAGGACCACTATAGTGCCAGGAAAACATACTCGTTTTCCTGGCACTATAGTGCCCTGAAGGTGCCCCACCCTCAGGGTCCCCCTCCCGCCAGGCTCTGGGGAGAGGAAGGGGTTAAAATCTTACCTTTTTCCAGCGCCGGGCGGGGAGCTCTCCTCCTCCTCTCCTCCTTCATAGCGACGTCATTGGCTGAATGCGCATGCGCGGCAGGAGCCCCCTGCGCATTCAGCCAGTTCATAGGAAAGCATTTACAATGCTTTCCTATGGACGCTGGTGTCTTCTCATAGTGATTTTCACAGTGAGAAGCACACAAGCGCCTCTAGCGGCTGTCAATGAGACAGCCACTAGAGGCTCTAGAGACTGGATTAACCATATTATAAACATAGCAGTTTCACGGAAAATGCTATGTTTATAAAAGAAAAAAAGGGTTAACCCTAGCTGGACCAGGCACCCAGACCACTTCATTAAGCTGAAGTGGTCTGGGTGCCTATAGTGGTCCTTTAAGAATGTAAATTTAAGAGGGATCTAAGGGAACTAAAATGGTGTGGACTGGAATTAATTAAGGTACACTTTGCAAATATTCTTGCTGTTTCAGTCTCTCTAGCACTGTGGCATGTTCCCTTTCTTCTACACTCAATACATACACTCTTTCTCCATCCCACACTGTATAACAAGAGCTTCTGCATGCTAGTACGAAGGTAATGTATTAGGCAGTCTTTGTGTGTATGTGTGTGTTTGTGTTTGTAAACAGAAATCAGTTTCTGTGTGTTTATGTGTTATGTAGTGTGTTCATGTGTATGTACTAGGCTGTTTGTGTGTGTCTGAAAATGTGTAGCAAAGGCAGAATAGAGGGGCAGAACAAACATGTATCAGTAGCACCCTGTGCACAAAGAGATAGTGCAGGGGTAGGCAACCTTTTTGTAGTACTGTGCCAAAACAAGATGTTGAAGTCCCTTGGCGTGCCGGTCCTAATTTTTTTTTACATTGAGATGTGGGTTACTGTTTTCTGCTTGTGTAATTTATGGCTGCTGCAGTTGCTTTGTACCATTGTATTCATGTGTATGTGGGCTATTATATTGTATATGTTCATGAGTAGTTTGTGATATTGTGTATGATACCTTTGAATGTGGGCTGTGTATGGGGGCTGCTTGTGGAATTGTGTGTGTGGATGTTGTGTCACATTGTGTGCTTGGTGGTGTGTATATGTGTGGGGCTGCTTGTGAGGTTGTGTGCGTGTATGTGGATGGTCAGTGGTGTTGTTGGTTGTGGTTGTGGGGACTGTGTGTGTGGGCTCTTTATATTATTTGTATAATAGTAAGGCTTATTTTGCAGCTCTGTGTATATATCTAGCAGTGTGGGTGGCTTCTCGGGATCCAGTAGACAACAGGTTAGCCAGGTGCAGGTCAAAATCTGTGATGTCTGCTGTGGGCTACTCTACTCCAGTGCAGGTACCCGTTCATAAGTGTTGGGATGGAGTTATCTTAGATCACGTCCTTTAAGAGTTGTAATGGGTAAATTAAGGATTGCCCCTCACCTGACAGGCCAGTGCCTGTTTGGCTCTGGCAACATTGAGTGTCGTGCAAAGGCATCTTGAGTGCCATCCATGGCACACGTTCTGTAGGTTGCCTACCCCTGAGATAGTGTGTAGCAGCCCCCTACAATTGGGTTATACTGGTGCAATGGCATTAAACTGTAACAAAAGGAAAATCCAAACAGTGGCAGAAGATGGTTCACCGATGAAGCTTTGAATTTGAATTTTTTTTATTCAAATGCTAAAGTTTTTTGCTGTTGTAACAGTGGAGAGTTCACAGTTGTTTGTAACTTTGCCAAACTATGGCGCCCTTTGAATAAGCCTCGTAGTACCGTTTTTACTCTGATTTGTACCTCGGAATATATTAGCATGTTTGTATGTATATATATATATATATATATATTACATTTTTTCAGTGTTATGATTTAGTGGGGAAACGTGTTAGTGCCCCCCCAGTTTTAACTGTGATTTCTTATTCTCCACCCCCGCCACATGTATTTGCATTGAATACATTATTTATCTATGTAAAAAACAAATACAATTTGTATCTTATAATACTTTTTTTATTAGACTAACAGAATTTTTTAATGACAAGCTTTCAGGAAAACCTCCCTTTCTCAAGTCTGAAGTTTCAAGTCTTGAGAAAGGGAGGTTCTCCCGAAAGCTTGTCATTAAAAAATTCTGTTAGTCCAATAAAAAAGGTATTACAAGATACACATTTTATCTGTTTTTTAAATCTACATCACTGGACTAATACGGCTACAATCTCTACATGATCATTTATCTATGTAATATACGATGTGTACAGTACATTTCCTTGGGATTTATATTCGAGTGAGCTTGCCATGACAGGTTCACTTTAATTGCCTAATTGTTCATTTATATTTAGAATAAATTAAGTGTCATATAATTAAATGAGCAAAATAATTTATAGGTGATTTTCGATGTTTTATTTGATGGTGTAATTTCCAGAGAAGTGACAACTACCCCTCCAATGAAAGATGTCAGACCAAGCGAAGACTTGTTGGTTAAAGTTTTACACTTTAACTTTTTTTAGTTTACCGTATAACATTGGCTGCCTCTTAAGAATTTCTGTTCTACTACTTGACCTCACATTAAAAATAAACAACTAGCATGACCGTATGTGTTAAACAAATAGTTATGAGAAAGCCCAGTGTCCTTTTAATGACATAAAAAATTGTGGATGACCTTTTATGTAGCTGCAAGCTGACAAGCGCCTTTCTTCAACTCTTCGTTAGCTAAATATCACATTTGCAGTAATTAAGACAAATACATTTAGTGTTAATGATCTTCCTCTAGGAGACATTGATCTGGGATTTTACACAAAATCTAGGAAATACAGTATGTCTCTTCAAAAGTAAACAAAAACAGGTAAAAATCACATCTTAAATCCAACAGCAATTTTAACACTTCTCAAACATTTTCACAGCCTAATTAAAGGGGCTCTATAGGCACCAGGATCACGTCATCTCAATGAAGCGGTCTGTTGCCGTGTCCCTGTCTATTTAACCCTGCAACTGAAAACATTGAGAGCATTTGATTTGATGCAGCGCAGTGTTTGACAAACATGCGCACTAGCATCCCAAAGTGCCCCTAGGGGGAATTATTGGAATGGCTCAGATAATCAACACTGATGATCTCAGCCAAAGAGGTGGAGCGGCAGGACAGGGGGCAGTGTGCCATGGGATGTAGAGTAAATAAAACATAACTTTTAAACTCCTGCAAGGGATGGTGGACACTGACATATTACATATGTAGAAGAACATTATAGCATTAGGAATGCATGTTTGTAACGTGCTCCATTAATACAGGGCCAGAGCAAGGATTTTTGCTGCTCTGGGCAAAAAATAATTTGTCATCCCGCCCCTCCATTTGTTGTGACATTACAATGTCCTACCCATATGATCAGCCACACACATGCTCCATCCCTTTTTACAATGTTTACTTTACTTTGTACCCATAGCCCCACTGTGTGCCTCTTTGACCCCTAGCCCCTCTGTATGTCTCTTTGTCACCACCAGCCCCTCTGTGTGTCTCTTTTGTCATTGTCCCCAGCCCCTCTGTGTTTTTCTTTGTCCACCCAGCCCCTCTGTGTTTTTCTTTGTCCACCCAGTCCTACCATGTATTTCTTTGTCACCCACAGCCTCCCTTCTGTGTGTCTTTGTCACACCACCCAGCCAAGCCTTCCTTCTAGGTCTTTGTCACCCTCCCAGGTCTTTGTCACCCACAGCCTCCCTTCTGCGTGTCTTTGTCACACCACCCCCCAAGCCTTCCTTCTAGGTCTTTATCACCCTCCCAGTCTCCCTTCTGTGTGTCTTTGTTACCCTCCCAGATTCCCTTCTGTGATTGCTCTCCCCCTCCCACCTCCCCAGACTCCCTTCCATGGTTTCACTCCCTCCTCGCACCTCCTAAGACTTTCTTATCTGGTTTCTCTCCCACTCTCACGCCCCGCGCCTGCTTACCTCCATCCTCCTTGGCAGAGTCACGGACCAGGGTAGAGGAGCTTCTGTTTCCTCTCCTGGTCTAACAGGCAGTGGTGTATCCTGGTTTTGTGCTGCCCTAGGCAGGACAAAACTCAGGCACCCCCCCGCGCCACCCGCGCAACCGCGCAACCGCCACCCAACCTTCCCCCCTGCTCCGCCTTCTAAATACACACACACACATTCACTGACAGATACGCATTCACTAGTTAACAGAAACACACACTCACTAACAGACACACACACTCACAGGCAAACACACACACACTAACAGGCAAACACACACACTAACAGACATCCACACTAACAGACATCCACACACTAACACTAACATACGTACACTAACATTAACATACACACTAACACTAACAGACACACACACTAACACTAACATACACACACTAACAGACACACTAACATACACACACTAACAGACATCCACACACACACACTAACATACACACACTAACACACACACACACTAACATACACACACTAACATACATACACACACTAACATACACACTAATAGACATCCACACACACACTAGCAGACATACACACACTCACTAGTGTTTTTTTTTAATTTTTTTATTTAACCCCCCCCCAGCCTCCTTACCTTTGGTAATGCTGGGGGGGGTTCTTCCTCTCCCTGGGGTCCAGTGGCTGCAGGGCGGGCGGCCGGCGAGGGAGCTCTTCCCCTGAGCACTCTGCTCAGCTCCCTCGCGCGCCGCCAGCAGAGTGAGGCTGGGAGCCGGAATATGACGTCATCAACCCGGCTCCCAGCCTCACTCTGCTGGCGGCGCGCGAGGGAGCTGAGCAGAGCGCTCAGGGGAAGAGCTCCCTCGGCGGCCGCCCGCCCGCCCAGCACTGCAGCCACTGCCGCCCAGAATGTCTGTTAGCCGCGAGGCTAACTAGGCATTTGCCCTGGGTATTTGGGGGCGGCGTTTTTTGCCGCCACCTGAAAAATGCCGCCCAAGGCAAATGCCTTGTTTGCCTCGCGGCTAATACGCCCCTGCTAACAGGAAGTATTTCAACTCTCACTGAGAACTTCCTGTCAGTTCTGGTAGAGGTGACAGAAGCTTCTTTATATTGGTATGCGGCCCTGCCATGCTATATACTGAGACTGGCACTCTTCTTGACAGTATGGTTCTGGACTGCTCCTATGGGTTTTTAAAACATAATGCGCTAATGATATCGGTTTCTGTAAAGATACAACTAAGCTGCAACTTGTTTGAGACAATCCTGGGTTTTTCTAGCTACAGTGGAAGACTACTAACCTCATCCTTTCTCAGAAAGTGTTTTTTATACATTTATTTGTCTCAAAACTATAACTCCTATGATACTTAGCCAGGTTTTGACTACTATGCTTCAGTTTGGCTATTTAGGTCTACAATTTTGAAGTCATGCAAGAAACAGCCCTAGTCTTACTGCCCTGAAACATAGCACAATGATACAAGCTAAAACACTGCACATAAAAAGTCTCCTACCACCATGACTACTCATGGTGAGTGGAATAATCCTTTAAATTACCCCTTAGCCTAAGCACCCCCAAATCTTAGCCTAACCCTATTCATAAACGTTGCTGGACCATTTTAATTGATGGCACAGTCTCAAATATTGCTGTTTTGTTGTGTTCTGAATACAATGCCATTTCAGCATCTCTCAGAAGACAATGGGACTTTAAAATACAGTTGTATTCCACATAGTTATACTGAATTTGATGCCTTTATTGTTATACTATCACAGCTAAAATAAATAATTAAAAAAATAATAATAACAATTGTATTGAACTGTCCCTCCACATGTTCCAGTAATCATTTCTCTCCTGCCTCCAGACTGATCAACTAAATTTACTGCTCTCATAAAAACATTGTACTCTGAATTAAATGTCTGTGTTTTCATAACCCATGTGTTTGAATTAGATAATCAATTTGTCTCTCCAGTTTATCTTTCTTATCCGTAATGTAAACTTCTGTAATGTGTACATATCATGTGCATATAATTGTAACTATTTGTATACATTATTTTATTTTTACATCTAACCTACCTACCAACATGTTCGGCACGCATTGCTTTTTGTATACAAGAACTGATTTGACACAATGGTTCTTCATATGCTTGGACAGGCGACAGGAGCAAGTCAGATACAAGGAGAGCAATTTGATTTTTGGTTTTGCCAGAGTAACTCCGAGAGGTGCCAAGTCGACAAATCAAATCATTTCCAACAAACGTAAGGAGCTGCACTAGATCCCATAAATCTGAGCCAGGGTGCAACCAAACCAGGACCAAGCACCAGGTTCCAATGGCAAAAGCATAAAATACCAAAATGGTTCAGGCACTCCAAGATCCAGAAATGGCAAATTTATTGAAGCCTAAAGTAACACAACAAAACTAATAGTTGAACCAAAATAATTTCTGTAGATCTGGATACATTTTATGTGAGTTTCTTCAGGAGTCCCAATTCTGGTGTGATACTAGTCTGGACCTGGTCTGGAATGGTTTGTATTCCCTCCAACATGTATTATTTTTAGATAAATGTAGTTTAAAGAGGATGGAGAGAGTCAGGTACCATCTGTAGAAATGAGATAACTTGCGGGAGTTTAATTTGATACTTTTTAAACTCAACACATTCTAAAAAAACTGTGGGGATTGAAAATGCAGATACAAATACATAGGTAGTGCAGTGTATTTAATTATTAATTAATTCAAATGCTAATTGTGGCAATTACCATGCAAGTTATATGTATGCTGTAAGAAAGCGTACATGCTCAACTCTATAAATATTATATAAGAAACAATATTTATTATAAGGATTGGACTAACAACTGCTTAAACTATCAGTCTGTTTTTCTAGGTTACCTGTTATAATTCACAGAAATATAAACACAGAGGTTTTATTCATTGACCTAGCTGCCCCAAAAAAAAATCTTAGGGGACAGCATACCACAATAAACGTAGCACCCCTTTAGGATCATATGTTAAGCCATGCAGTTTTCTATAGTCAAAATGATTTACCGTCACTAGAGAGGTGACCTGTGTAAGCTAGCTGATGTCACCTTTTAATATAAATATGGAGTTTCTCATGAAAAATAAATCAGTTATTTAACAAAGGTATATAAATTCTAAAAAAAAGAAAAGAAAAATTAATGTTATGTATTTTTGGATTTCCAACTGGAATTTTTGCTTCTTGAATTTTTATTTTTATTTTTTTTAAAGCCATATGTATTATTGTTAATGTTATTGTGATTTATATAGCGCCAACAGATTCCATAGCGCTTTACAATATTATTAGATGGGGGATTTGACTATAAATAGGACAATTACAAGAAAACTCACAGAAACGAAGGCTTAAAGAGGGCCCTGCTCAAACGAGCTTGCAGTCTATAGGAGGTGGGGTATAAAACACATTAGGACAGGGAATAGAAGTCAAATTAGGTGGGAGTGGAGCAGAGCTGGAGGAGAGTGCAAGAGGTAGAGGTTAGTCTGGGAGGCCATAAGCTTTCCTAAAGAAATTAGTTTTAAGGCACTTCTTAAATGATTGAAGGCTAGGGCTTGTACAATATAGCCTACTCTAATAACACCATCAAGGATTGTTTTTACCATCTTTCTTGGACAGTAAAACATATGATTGTAAAAGCTATACCATGGCTGGCAAAGATTTACCCCTCGCTTTCCCCCTCACCCACTAGGTTATCTGGGAGGATGTGTCCCCCTTATTACCCCTACTTCCTACACCCATGGATTTCTTTACGTACCAGTAAATTGTAATTAATTGAAAATAAAACGGCTATATTTAGTCTAGAAAATTACAGATTCTGAAAAACAAAATTCCAAACACAACTATCATTACAACTTGACTATATTAGAAAGTTATTTTGCAAATCTTGGTATATGGTTTCTAGCTCGCCTTTAAAGGAACACTATAGTCACCTAAATTACTTTAGCTAAATAAAGCAGTTTTAGTGTATAGATCATTCCCCTGCAATTTCACTGCTCAATTCACTGTCATTTAGGAGTTAAATCACATTGTTTCTGTTTATGCAGCCCTAGCCACACCTCCCTTGGCTATGATTGACAGAGCCTGCATGAAAAAAACAACTGGTTTCACTTTCAAACAGATGTAATTTACCTTAAATAATTGTATCTTAATCTCTAAATTGAACTTTAATCACATACAGGAGGCTCTTGCAGGGTCTAGCAAGCTATTAACATAGCAGTGGATAAGAAAATCTTAATTAAACAGAACTTGCAATAAAGAAAGCCCAAATAGGGCTCTCTTTACAGGAAGTGTTTATGGAAGGCTGTGCAAGTCACATGCAGGGAGGTGTGACTAGGGTTCATAAACAAAGGGATTTAACTCCTAAATGGCAGGATTGAGCAGTGAGGCTGCAGGGGCATGTTCTATATACCAAAACTGCTTCATTAAGCTAAAGTTGTTCAGGTGACTATAGTGTCCCTTTAATAAACCCACCTCAGCCATTTTTATCATTTTGTGTTCAATACAATTAGGACTATTGAATTGGCATGAAATGAAATTAAATGTGCACCCTTTGGTTGGGGAGAACAGTGCAGGATAAAAATATAGCATTTTATATATCTTGAAAATGATGCAGATTTCCGATTGCTGGTAAAATTAGCATATAAAAAGAGCAAGAATCTTTACATCATAAGAGAAAATGTAACTCCGAATAACATGTAAAATAAGTAATGTACAATCATTTTGTACGTATATGGCTGTTTTGAAAAGCAACCAAAATTAAGGCATATAAATAAATAAAAATACATTGAAAAATACAAAAATCATGATATTAAATACTGTGAATAATTAAATTATAATTAAATTATAAATAATTAAATAATAATTAAAATAAACCTGTCACATCTCATCCAATACTTGGTTCTTTTGATTAAGCTCAGTTATCTATTGACGGGTGTTTAATTGTTTAATTTAACTTGTGTGTTAATGTACTCTTGTGCTCTTGTTGAGCACTGTACATATCACTGACATTATTGTATTTATTTATTTTATTTTATTTTTCGTTATTCACAATTCACAAGTAGTGCAACAATACAATACGAAACAAAGGTCATGACAAATGCATAGATTGTACACTAGCGGGTGACCCGGCAACATTTTGGGATTGTGGGTTTTATTTTTAAGAACAGTATAATAGTATACAAAGTGGGAACTTTGCATCCAGCACCTAGGAAGGATCTTGTGTGTCATGTAATTGCCTATCACTACTTTAATTATCCTCATACATGATGTATAGCCTATGTAGGCCGGGGCCACATGAAGCTTGCATGACTCTTTGTTTATATTGTTAATCTCTTGCAAGAAAGAAATACAAGGCAGAAAAAATTAACCTGCCATCCACAGATCATGGTTTGATCCACATGACACATTTGCCTGAAAGCACATATACCTCTAGTCTAGGTATCACCAGCAAATATATGGATGAAAAGATATGGTAGAATCCCTCTCGGACAATGCTGTGTCCTGGAATGTGAGGCGATACAGAACATGGAATAGTCTTGCCAACCAAATGATGCAATTATTTGGTGCGAACAGGTGTAGCATTGCATACTTTGAATTCCTGCAAATTTAAAGTATGCAACCCGGTCAACCACATGGGCGATAACATGAATTTCCACTCACATTGACAGAGCAGCCGACATTCTCATTAGATCGTTTTTTTTATCATGAACATCTGTTAAGAAACCCTAAACAGTAACACAATTATTCATTAAACTTGGATCTCACAGTGAATTTCAAAATTTTAGTTCTAGAAATAGTTGATCAGAAAATAGAACTCACATTGACAATAATTTTCGTTTCAGCTTTTTTTTTTGTAAATCTTTTTTTATTGAATAACAAGATGAAATTACATAGTTGCGTTATTACAATATTTTAGTCATTGTATAGTAAACCAAAAGTTACAAATCGGAAGCGGTAATCCTGTACAGTGTTTTGAGCAGTAAAGTTGTTGTTTCCCTTTTTCCCCCCATTCTGTTCTCCCCTCTCCCCTTCTAATTTCCTTTATTACTTTGCTTTGTTTTGTTTTGTGTTATTGTGTGTTTGTGTCCCAAGGCATGGTTTTGTGAGTTACGTAGGGTATCTAAGTATAACTTTGAGACTCGCAGGTCCCTGCATTCCAAATGTTTATACGGTTCAACAACATGCTGTGTGTATAGATTGAGAGGGGATCTAAATGCTAGACGATAAGGCAGCTCGTGTGAGACAAGTTTTTTGTCCAAGTTCGCCATGTTAGGTATGCGTTGGCGAGCGGATGTGTTGGCGAACATTGGGCCATGTTTATTACTTGTATAAAGCTTAGCTGGGTTTCCCCGCTGGTCTGTTTTGTGAGCGTGGTGTCGTTTCAGCTTTTTGTCCTAAACTTCAAATTTCACTTTAAATTCCTGACAATTCACACTTTGCTGAATAACCTGCCAATATTCGGTTTCCTTTCCGGATCCAAAATCCGAATGTGCCCATTTCTCCTCAAGAAGTAATGTAACAGTATCAGTGGAACAGGAGACCAGATATATGTGTATAGTAATTACAGGAAAATGATGGATGAATCTTAAACAGTGGGAAGAATGTAACAAATCAGATCACTTGGAACAATGGAGGATACACAGCGATAGGAACGTAAATAATGAGTTATAAAATATTGTTTTTATCATTTGATTAACATGACAAAGACGCACTGTTTCGTGCATATATTCATCCGTGGATCAACCTTAGATCATAGCAATCCTTGTGTTGAGTTAAGCTGAACAGCACGTACAAAGAAAAATATATATTTTTTCCTCCAAACATTGGTGTTTAAAGAACTACATGGCTCTTGCATCCTGGGCTGCATCATCATCAACCTTAAACCATCAAAAATCCAGAGAATATCTTGTTTGTGGTCTTAACCTGAGATTATCTTTCATGCTAAGGTATTTCATCTTCAATTTATGTAATATAATTTTATTTTATAACTGTAACTGATGGTAATGACATATTTAAATATATTGCCTAAATCGCTATAGTAGATTTCATAAATTTATGTGGGTTGACATGTCAACATGATTGTTGACATGTGGAAGAAGAAGTGGACCATGAATATATTTCCCTGACATTCTCTCTCCTGGGTGCTGCCATCTTTAATAATTCAGTTCCTGGCAGTTGAGGCTGCCAGGAGAAAGCTTTTGCCATCAGTTACAGTCAAATGTTGGGAAATTGCAAAGCAGAGCAACTGGAAATTAATCTCCTTTCTTATTTTAAAACCACTAAAACAACTAAAAGAAACTTAAGTACGGAAAGTTGTGTATTGTCCGGAATGAGATTTTATGCACCAAGTTGTAATGCCTTGACGATCATCACCAATGTACTTGGATCCAAGTGGTTATGCATGTAAAAGAAAACAAGCATTTGTGTAGGATACCAAAACTATGCAATGAAGACCAGTGCTGACGCCCACTGTTATTGTAATATATCGATGCGGCCTTCTTTGTCAGTTAGCCGTTTTTAACAGCGCCATCTTTACACTTGGACGGACCCCATAGGTTTAATTAATAATAAATTATTCATAGTAATGTTGCGCTGTGCTATCTCTGTCTGTATGATTTACCAACTGAGTACCATTTTTTATGCTGAATTTTTTTACTTCAAGGCTCATGTTATATTGTCCAAATGTTTGTGATAATTAATCTTAATAAACAGCATGTTTTTTATAAATATTTAAACATGGATTTTGTTGGAGATACATAGTTACATAGTTACATAGCTGAAAAGAGACTTGCGTCCATCAAGTTCAGCCTTCCTCACAAATGTTGTTGCTGTTGATCCAAAAGAAGGCAAAAAACCTGGTCTGAAGCACTTCCAATTTTGCCACAAACTAGGAAAAAATTCCTTCTTGACCCCAAAATAGCAGTCAGATGTCTCCTTGGATCAATCAGCTATTACCCACTAATTAGAAATTATATCCCTGTATGTTATGTTTTTGTAAGTATTTATCCAATTTCAGTTTAAACATCTGTATGGACTCTGACAAAACCACCTCTTCAGGCAGAGAATTCCATATCCTTATTGTTCTTACTGTAAAAAAACATTTTCTTTGCCTTAGATGAAATCTCCTTTCTTCCAGCCTAAATGTGTGACCTCGTGTCCTATGTATAGCCCTGTTTATGAATAGATTTCCAGATATACCAATATTTATAAGCTTAATTTTTTGATAATTGACATTTTTATTCCTGTAAGTGCTTGTGTAGGCAGGGCCCCAGTGCACTGCTTTGCCAGGGGGCCCATAATGCTGTTAAGATGACCCTGATTTGTAAGACAACATTTTTAAAGTGAATCTTTACCCAACATGGGTTATACTCAAATCTTGTATCTATTTTTCAAATTTTTTCAAAAGTTTCTTCTACAGGTCATTTACTTGTTTAACAGAGATTAAAAGGGCATTATAAACAACACAATAACTACAGTTACTCCAACTCATTGTAGAAGTTTTGGTGCAAAGAGTCTTTGCATTCTGTGTTCCTTTTTATTGCCATAACATTTGAGTGGTTTGGCAAACAATATGTCTCTCTCGGCATCTAAAGCCTTGCCTCTCTGTTGACATCTAATAATAAATGTCAGTAAGTTACTAAGAGAGCCTAGTTATCCCACCCCAAGCCCTCTCAGTCTATAACTACCCTCTGCCTAACATTGCTGTCTAACGATGGACATCTTCTTCAGATATTCTGCAGTAGTTCTAGTGCTTAGATTGCCTCTTTAATTGAGTGCCTAGATCTTCTAGATGCATTTTATTAAACAAAAGTGGCCTGAACTGATCTTTAGCTTGATTAATGTCTATATATCCTACCCGTCCAGAGTCCTGGCCTTCATAATAGATTATTTACTGAGCCCATAACAAAGTCCATTCTTCACCTTACTTATCTCTGTTCCTTGGATATGCTTCAGCAATGTCCTAATTGCAAGCCCTCAAACATGACTGCTCCTTTAAGATAGATCGTTGATGTGCTTGGTCTGTAAGTATGGAAATTGATCACTGCTGTTAATCAGCTATAAGCAGAGCAGCAGAGGTAATGAACCCAACTGATTTATTTACTGCCAATGACTTGTTTAATAACGTAATTAGTGTAGAGAACATGACTGCGGCAAAATGAGACGAAACCTTGCCGAACCTCTTTCTGAAAATCCATCTGAATAATTACAAAGTTGACGAATGATGAGTTCAGAGCTTTGCATTGTTTGATATATGATTTTGCCATTAAAAGTGTCATCACTCGGGTGATATATTTGCATTGAAAATGCTAATCTTTTCCTCTTGATTGGCAGTAAATTTTTCTATGTTTCCATTCTAGATAATGCAGTCAACCAACGAGCCACAACATTAATAGAACTAGAAGGACAATGATTAACAGTTAAGAAGAACCAAGTGCTTACACTATCACAAATAGAATTACTTTCGGTATCGACCTTCGGCGCCAAAGGAGAAAAATGGCTGAGACAGAAGCCAGGAGTAGCCGAGAGACAATAAAAATACCAATATGAAATTATTAAACCATGAAAGGTACATTTTGTCTTTTTCTCAAAAACATATATTTCTGGTCTACGAAATGGACAAAGTAACGTAGATAATGTACATCAGAGGTTCACAAATTTTTGGGGACTGAGGCACACTCAGTCAATAAGAGAAAAAAAATCTAAAATATATATATATTTTAAATGCATTACTTACACACATACTGTGGAATATATAAGTGTTGTAAATTATTCAAGTGGCTCTATCACCTTCAGGGTTTTTGCATATTTTAGGTGTCATCCTCTGTCACTTTTGGGGTACACTTACTTTTATTTCTTTATACTTTCATCATTGACTTTAAACCAGAAGAGAAATAAGTTCCAAGGCACGTTTACTTTCATTTCTATTAATTTTTACCTTCATCAACTGCTTATAAATGTGACATGAACTTGGAGGCTTACTCGATAGATTTGCATTCCCCTAGCCAAATTAACAAATTAGCTTGAATTAATTGCCAGATGGTAGGCCCAATTTTAATGCTGGTACTTATTTTTTTAAAAAAGTGCTCATCTGAGGATGGCATTCAACCTGCTAGAGCTATAAGTAAATTTGTTTTACAGCACACTTTAAGTCACAGTACACTAATTAAAGGCCACTGGTCCATAAGATATGATGCCAATGACTGTGCTAGGTGCCATAAGTATGGAATTGTGTCAATTGCTAATGTCTTTGTTACAATGACTAAAATACCAGTCAGTGGTACAATAATAATAATAATATTTACACCTCCTACTGGCTTATGAAATGAACATTATAGTCTGTGGTATGAAATTACATCATGCGTCATTTAAAGAGGTGTGTTTCCACGTTTCTGTTTATTTATGCATTTTGTACCAACGATAAAAGAAAACATTTTTTTTTTTTTACTCTATTGTGAGCTAAGTTGTTTGTTTTTTAACTAATATTTGGAGGTAGGGCTAAATCCTAATATAATCTCAGGAGCGGATCAGACCTCGATTTTGGGAGAGGCAAAGTCAGAATATATGGCAAACAATGGAATAATAATGAGGTTGAAATCATATTCACTGCATAGTATTTTGGATCTCTGAACTACTCAACCACATGCAATGCTACTATAAGACATTCACACACACTGCACATTGCTGTACACCACATTCACTAAACATTTAACCATCTCCTACGCTATAGGAGATCTCCAAATTCTTTAGAAATGTACCCCGCATTCTCCAACATTTAAAAACTACATTCCCCTTCATACTAACCCACACTTTCCAAAATATATCCCTCTTTATCTCCCAGTCCTTTCCACACATCCTGCAAACAACCCCTGTTTAACTTCACATTTACCTGCCAAACAGGCCAAGGGTAACGTTTTTCCTGTTTATTTAGGAATTACCTCATCATACACACCGTGGGTGGCAGAGACAGGGATTTACCCTGCAATGTGTATTTTAAATAAGCATCAGTGATTATAGAAGACGTAACAGAAGTGTGAACTGTAACAAATTCATTGTGAATTTCAGACTGTTAGACCTGTAAACATAGCCGATTTTGGCTTATTTGGTAATAAAATGTAATATTCACATGAATTCACTTTGTATTCCCAATAATACACTGCCAATGAATTGGAGAAATTATTATTATAATTAGATCATCCATAAATCCTGGCCAGAATATTTTTATTTAGTTAGTTATTCCTTACTTCAGAAAGTGAGGATAAAACAGTCGAAACAAAACTTATGAAAGCCCGGGTCTTGAAATTTGTTCATCCTGATTTAATATTCATATGTCTGTCTTCAAAACTCAAAACTGACACTCATTTCTTTTTATTTTACTGCATGAAATATCTGTTTTGTGGATAAATTCTCCATCCATGTAAAGCAGGCGAGGACTGAAGAAAAATGAGCGCTAGATAACATTTGACGTATTATGGACATATTATGCAGGACTGAGGCCACAGGGGGAAACTGGTAAGTGTATAGCCAAAGAGAGACGGTAATTGGATTGTGAAACAAATCAGATATCAGCTCTGTCTGTGGGCATTAGATGAATACACAAATAAGTCCGGCAACGTGGCTTACATAACCACATATGACAGCAGATCTGACAGGGTTTGGAGACTAAATGAAAGGTCTTATGCTGTTTATTTTTTTTTATTTTTGTTACAATAAAATATATCAACCCTGTTCTCAAACTTTTATCATTGCTTGGTGGCTGCCTGGACTTCTGTACTCAGCAACAACGAGAAATAAAGCAAAGAAAATGTATCTGCTCATGGTACTAAGCCCCGAGAGTTTAAACACCACGTCAGGTTCTTGGTGTCAATGCATCTCTATAGAGTATAAACTTATTTACCATCTACAAGTCAAAGTTTGCATGTTCTACTCAAAATGTACATACTGTCAGGATAGTCTAACACCCAACACGCAGAGTTCAAGTTAACAAATAGAAGGGGGGCGTGGCCTGGCCACCGAGGAGAATGGAAGCCTAAACTGAGAGTTCCGTCTCCCAAAGCTAAATTCAGCACGCTAAATGAGCAGGGAGGGTCGGAAATGGGACGCACAAAACGCCCGGACGGCTCCCAAACACCCCGGAGCAACCTTACAAGCTCCCAGGCAGGTCCCATGGACGATTACCTGCAGGCTCCGGCAACCGCATCCCGCGAGCAGGCAGGCTCAACAATGGCCGACTCACCGCACCACGTGCAACCCCCAGAGACAGCCGGCCCCACACTAACAGATATCAGTGCAGACATCAGAGCGCTGGCCGCACAAATGGTCACGAAAACGGACCTCCAAGCTCTGTCAGACGACCTACATGTGGCGATCCGCCTAGAGGTAACGGCCCTGAGGGCTGAAATGACTGCACACAGCGGCAGGCTCCAAACACTAGAGGGGAATATGCAGGAAGCTATGGGGAGAACGGGAACCACAACCACAGCGGTCACCAGACAGGGAAACATGTTGCTAGCCCTACGACGGCAAACAGAAGATCTGGACAATAGAGGCCGCCGCTCAAACATCCGAGTGCGCGGCCTACCCGAACCACAGGCGGAGGAAGATATTGAGGCCACGCTGAAGGCCCTCTTCCAGGCCATCTTAGGGGAAGACTTACCTGCCGACCTGACGTTTGACAGGGCTCACAGGGCAAACAGGCCCAGGATACCGGATGGCACACCACGAGACGCCATATGCTGCCTCCACCACTATAAGCACAAGGAACGAATAATGCGGAAAGCCCGCACGAGACCGCTGTGGAGATTCCGTGGAGCCGATGTGGCCTTGTTCCAGGATCTGTCACCGCTCACGCTAGGAGCGCGCAGGGCCTTACGTCCCATCACGGCCCTTCTCAGAGAGAGAAATATCCCCTACAAGTGGGGTTTCCCCTTTGCCCTACTCGCAAGACACCAGAATGAATGGGTATCCCTGCGCTGGCCGGAGGAAAGCCCGGGATTCCTACACCACCTAGAACTACCGCCCACGGAGATAATGGACTGGATCCTCGGACAGCTAGAGCAACGGCCAAGGCCTCCAACACTGAGACCACAGCGCCGCCGCAGAGGGGACTCACCGAGGCGGCCAACTGCACGCAGACACCTGGACCCTGCAGAACCGGAAGAATAACGGCAGAGGGGCACACCCGCCCCAACAAGGAGGACCCCTCCATCCCCCTCACGGGATAGACTGTTGCGGGCCCCATAAGATTGCAGACTCTACCGACACCGGAGGCAGGAAGTGATCCCCAGTACCCAGATAAGTACTACGCTATCCACCACGCACATACGGAATCTGGGACTAAATATCGGAGAATACCGCAATTAATGTGGGGCTACCGGGATAACACTACATTTAGGGTGGAGGGGATGCAGGGATGGAGTTGGGACACTGCTCTGGGTCATTACCCATATCCGAACAAACGGACAAGCGCACTGGGGGGCGCAAAGGGGAAAATGTTTAAATGTTTTAATGTTTTAAAGTTATAAGGTTCCCAAATGTTGCACGTTAGACTCAGTGAATTATATAAGACCCACATACTGATAGCAGGGTGAACCACGTTCTGACAAGGCAAGCACATAGCAGGTTGGGCCCACTCCTCTGATGACCTGACCACAACTCAAACCCTGACGCTAGACACCTGCCCCATGTGACAACCTACCTAACCACGAAAGACCTGCATAATATAGCTATAGGGACACGCATACCGTTTGAGACAGAGACGGGGATGGGATGAATCACCACGTGTACAGGTCAATGGGGAGGCCCCGATTAGACATGGGTGGGACGGAGCTGGACGAGGGGAGAAATTGGTAGCTACAAAACCCAGCGATAGACGAAAGGAGATGCCATAGGTAGAGGGTAGGCCGCAGTGAACGCGGAACTGGCGGTGACAGGGGGCTAGGGACAGTACTTATAATGGCAACCTCCATGCACCGCAGAATGCCTAAACGACAAATATTTTATAGAAGACCTCTACCACCCCCCCCCTGTGTACCCCCTTTCACGAGAAGCATTGCCACCAACTGGTCAGGACTTAGCTCACGGGACCGCCCGAACGTAGCAGATGACGGTGACGAGCCACTTCAGCCGTATACCCACCACAAACGCCCATGTGACCACAAAGACAAGACGCCATGAGACCACACCTGGGAAGACTGAGGAGAGCCCAGGGAGCACACGAGGGGAGAACTCATACCACCCAAACCAAGACCAGACTTATATAGCGACTTAGCGTAACAAATACAACCGAACGCAATTGAGACGGGAGACCCAGGACGGCTGACGATACCAGACCACAATCTCTACCTCAACCAACTCTCCACATATTAAGTGGAAGACGTAA